AACTGTATTTCCAAACACATTATAAAATATAGTCAGGTTCAATATTTTATTTTTTTAGCTATTTAAAGTGACACTTTAGAAAACTCATTTGGAGAAAAAAATACTGCAGGATACAATTTACAAATAACAATGTGAGAGGGAAATACAGATGTTTCAAGCCTGAAACATAAACTAATGTGAGTTTGAAGAATCAAGGAAAACAAATTGACTTAAGTGGAAATATGAAGAGCCTACTGAAAATATTACACTTTTAAAGCAGCTGTCTAAAATTAAGTGGACATTGGAATAAAAAGTAAGGTTGATCACCATATAAACTACTGACAATATTCTCTGGGATACATGCTGCGATGATCAAGGGGAAACATCAGCATGCACAAAATCTCAGGATTTATTTGACTCAACAAGAGAAAACACTCCCAATGCCACACCTGCCTCTGAAAAGCTGAGGATCTGCCCAAGGTCCTAACTGCTTTACAGGAAAACAGTGAAGCTTGCTCACTGAATAAGTCACATGAAAGATTCCAAACCTTCCAGAGCTTCAACTTTCATGTTTAACATTTTTCTCTGAGCTTTTTTAGGAAATTGGCCAGTGTGTGAATTTTATTTTGTAAACCTGCGTTTGGTAGTTTTGACTTAGAGCAGAGATTGTCACAACCCAGTGTGCTCGGGCCCCTGACCTTTCTTTTGTAGACTTACACAGAGAATTCTGTATTATGACTGTTTAAAGTCAGTCCTGACTTTGAGGATTTATACTTCTATGGAAGAGACGGAAAACAGAAACAATTACAACACAGAATTCTCTGTTTAGGGGCTCCTGGGTGGCTCAGTCATTAAGCGTCTATCTTCAGCTCAGGTCATGATCCCAGGGTCCTGGGATCAAGCCCCGCGTCGGGCTCCCTGCTCCGCAGGAATCCTGCTTCTCACTCTCCCACTCCCCCTGCTTGTGTTCCCTCTCTTGCTGTCTCGTCAAATAAATAAATAAAATCTTAAAAAAAAGAATTCTCTGTTTAAGTTTATAAAGGAAAGCACTGCTGCTCTCCCTCCTTTAGGCATGGGGGAGAGGGAAAGACAAAGAACAAATCGGAAGGAAAAACGTTAAATTCAACTATTAACACTAAAGTTTTAGTAAGACTAGAAATTTTTCCAAGCACATATCATACAAAATTATATAAAAAGTTAAGAAGTAAAGTCACTATAAGAAAATTAAGCTCCTCCCCTGCTTCTCTTTCTCAAAGTGTGGTTTCTGGGCATCTACCTCTGGAGGTATCTGTTAAAAGTACAGGCTCCTGGGGGCGCCTGGGTGGCCCAGTCGTTAGGCATCTGCCTTCGGCTCAGGTCATGGTCCCAGAGTCCTGGGATCGAGCCCTGTGTCAAGCCCCGCATCGGGCTCCCTGCTCAGCGGGAAGCCTGCTTCTCCCTCTCCCACTCCCCCTGCTTGCGTTCCCTCTCTTGCTCTCTCTGTCAAATAAATAAATAAATAAATCTTTAAAAAAAAAAAGTACAGGCTCCTGGGCCCCACCTGGATAAACCCAATCAGTCACTGGAAGTGAAACCTGCAATCTTCATTTTTTTTAAAATATGCCCCACAAACTGGTAATGGGTGACTGTCTTCAAGGAGAACTGGGTGGCTAAAAATAAAAAATGGAAGTCTCACTTTACATTCTTTATACTGTATGCCCTATACCCTTCGTATTTCAGAACTCAAAATCCCTTTTGAATTTTCTATATGTGCCTTATTCAACACCTCCGAACAAAACAAAAACCCCAGGTGATTCTTAAATGCACTCAAGCTTGAGAACTACTATTTTAGCCCATGGACCAGTAGGTACAACCAAAATGGCTGCCAAGAAGCAAAGGTATATAAACCTGCCAGAGAGTTTTGTGTCTCAAAAAGGCTTTGTATCTCCCAATTACCAACAAGATTTTATTTATTTATTTGACGGAGAGAGACACAGCGAAGAGAGGGAACACAAGCAGGGGGAGTAGGAGAGGGAGAAGCAGGCTTCCGGCTGAGCAGGGAGCCCGATGCGGGGCTCGATCCCAAGGGCCCTGGGATCATGACCTGAGCCGAAGGCAGATGCTTAACGACTGAACCACCCAGGTGCCCCTCCCAATTACCAACTTTTGAATGCAAGTTACTTAACCTTTTTGAGTTTTAATTTCCTTATCTGCACAATCTACAATCAAGATTATTAAGTGGATGCAATTAAAAAAGATTATGACCCAGTGCAACTCTTTCTGCCCACAGGTCCTGTCCCTGTGCTGTAAGAAAACCACCTTTTTGCACCCAAAAAAAAAAAAAAAGATTATGAGGATTAAGTACAAACGTATGCAAAATACTTTAAAAGATGCCCATCCATAACAAGTACTCAATAACTGATGACTACGTTTTTTATAATTACTTTGAGACTCAAGCCCATTAGTTCATACAAAGCTTTGTTTCCCACCAGTATCCCAAAAGAGGAGCCACCCTAGGGAAGATGTGGCTGTCACACCTTATTCTTAAGTCAATGAAGACTTTTACATTAGTGATCTTTAATTTGTGAGGCCAGAAAACTCAGATCCAATTTCTGCAAGTCACTATACAATTGTTAAAAGCAAAAGATCTGGGGGTGCCTGGGTGGCTCAGTTTGTTGAGCGTCCGGCTCTTGATTTTGGCTCGGGGCATGATTGCAGGGTCCTGGAATCCAACTCCGCATCAGGCTCCGCGTTCAGTATGGAGTCTCCTTTCCCCCTCGTCCTCTTCTCTCCCAACACCTGCCCCCCCATGCATGTGCACGCTCTCTCAGATCAATAAATCTTTTATAAAAAGGGGGGGGCAAAAAATCTGGAGTTTGGTGGCCTGAGGTTCAAGTTCTGAGTCTACTACTACCAGTTGGCTGTTAAGACTCTGGTCTTTACTAAACCTTGCTAAGCAATTTTCTCACATAAAATATGAAAACAGTACCTACATCACAGTGAAGTGAACCAGCCTAAACTATACATGTAAAAGCAAAGTCCTTACCTCACTTTACACACACAGTTTAACTCAAAGTAGATCACAGACTTAAATCTAAGAGCCAAAACTACAAAACTCTTAGGACACAAGAGTGAATCTTCATGAGTTTGGGTTAGCCAATGATTTCTTAGATATGACACCAAAAGTATAAGCGGTAAAAACTTGACAAGTTGAATTTTATCAAAATTAAAAACTTCTGTGCTTCAAAGGACACCATCAAGAAAATGAAAAGGCAACCCATGAAATGAGAGAAAGTATTTGCAAATCACTTAGCTGTTAAAGGACCTGTGCCCAGATTAAACAAACAAAAACAACTCTTAGAACTCAATAATAAAAAGACAAATTGCCCAAAATGGGCAGAGTGGTGTCTGGCTGGCTCAGTGGACAGAGCATGCGACTCTTGATGGTGGGTTCCTTAGTTCGAACCCCACACTGGGCGCAGAAATTACTTTAAAACAAAATAAAATGGGCAAAGGTTCTGAATAGGCATTTCTTCAAAGATATACAAATAAGCATATGAAAGGATATTCAACATCATTAGTCATTAGGGAAATTCAAATCAAACCAGGAGATACCACTTCACACCCACTGGGATGACTATAAACAAAAATACAACAGCAACTGCTGTCCAGGATATGGAGAAACTGGACCCCTCATACACTGCTGGTGGGAATGTAAAATGGTGCAGCCACCTTGGAATACCATTTGGCAGTTCTTCAAAACAAACACAGAGTTACCATGTATGTGATCGAGCAATTCCACTCCTAGAAATGGATATATCCAAGTAACCAAAATATATGTTTACACAAAAGCCTGTACCCAAAATAACAGCATTATTCGAAACAGTCCAGAAGTGGAAACCCAAACGTCCATCAACTAATAAATGCATAAACCAAATGTAGTACACACAGTGCAGAATTACTCAACCATAAAAAGTACTGGCGCATGCTACAACCTGGACGAAACTTTAAAACAAGCAGAATCCAAGTATATGAAAATGTCAGGAAAAAGCAAATCTATAGACACAAAAAGTTCACGAGTGGTTGCCTAGGGCTGAGGAGCTTTGTGGGGAAATGGACAATGACTACTAATTGGTTCGTTTCTTTGGGGGGTGATAAAAATGTTCTAAAATTTATGGTGGTGATGGATGCACAACCCGTTAATATACTAAAAAACCATTAAATCGTATGCTTAAATGCGTGAACCTTCTGATATGCAATTGTATCTCAAAGGAGCTGTTTTTAGAAAGAAACAAAACGCCTAGCCCGATACAATGCCCAATTACTTCCAACTGTGCCCATTCCTGAATAACGGGCGGGATTCAGAATGACTCCTAAGGACCCTCCCACTTTTGACCCTTCGGAACCCTGAAGGACCAAACGCCTGCAGCGGGGCTCCTCTAGGCGGGCGAAAGACCACAGGAGCTCAGGGCTCCCACGGTCCTCACAGTTCCTCCACGGTCCTCACAGTTCCTCCACGGCCCCACTCCCCGCCACTACCTGCCTGGAGATGCGCTTACCCAAGGCACAGGCCATGGCGGCACCCACCAGGCCTCCGCCCGACACCACCACATCGTACACCGTGTCGGCCTTGGCGCCCGACCACCTCCGGCAGGAGAGCAGCGGGCCTTTCCCAGCAGCTGCAGGTGCAGCCCTCCACCGGCTCACAGCCAGCCGGGCCGCCATGGTGCTGACCCGGAACGTACTTGGCGCACCGCTAGGCCCTCCTTTTGCTGCACTGCCGGAGCAGAGCTCTCCAATCACTAGCTGCTTCCGCCCCGGCCTCAGAGCCGGAAATAGAACACTCAAAGACTAGGCCAATCAGAAAACGATCCTTGCCAACTTGGGCGGGAAAGATTACAGGCTCCCTGGGAAGGCGGACTGGGTCAGGCATCCGCCTGGGAGCCAATCAGAGGCCAAAGCTAGAAAGGGGCGGAACCTGATCGCGTAGCTAGTACCGCCACCGCAGCCAGCTCGTAGCCCGCCGCTGTGACCGCCGCCTCCGTCTCTGCCTCGCGGAGAAGATGACCATTGGGAGGCCTCCGGGAGTCCAGGGCGGCGCTCAGTGGAGCCGTCAGGTGAGGAGAGAACGAGAGGGAGAGGAATTAGGTCTGCGCCCCGGAAAGGAATCTCTAAGAAACTGTTTGACGTTGCCTTGGAGACACGACAGGGGCGTGTCGCACAGGGGCGTGGGATTAAAATTGGCCGCCTTTAGGGACCGGCCGGCGGCCTCCCTAAAGGGTTGAGCCTTATGTCAGGCCCTTCGTCGAACCACAGCGATGGCCCTCGGTTTTTACTTATCCTGTCAACTACCCTAGGACTGATAGTACGATGTCGTCCCCATTTTGTAGAAAAGAAAACTGAGGCACAGAGAGAATAAGAAATTTGCCACAGTGGGGCACCTGGGTGGCTCAGTCAGTTAAGCGTCTGCCTTCGGCTCAGGTCATGATTGATCCCAGGGTCCTGGGATCGAGCCCCGCATCGGGCTCCCTGCTCAAGCGGGGAATCTGCTTCTCCCTCTCTCTGCCCCTCCCCCACACTCATGTGCTCGCTCGCTTGCTCGCTCTCAAATAAATAAAATTAAAAAAAAAAAAGAAATTTGCCATACAGTCCATACAGAAAGTAGATTGGTGGTTGCTTAGGGCTGGCAGGGAGGGAAGGGTTGGAAGGACTAAGCAAAATAGAGAGTGACTGCTAAATGGTATGGGCTTTCTTTGGGGTGATTGAAATGCTCTAAAATTGATGGTGGTGATGGTTGCACAACTCTGTGAATATACTAAAACCCATTGCATTGTACTCTTTCAGTAAGTGAATTGTATGAATTGTATGGTGTTTGAATTATATCTCAATAAAGGCATTTAAAAAAAATTTTTCCCGAGATCCCATGCTCCTCAGTAGCAGCGCAAGGGCTGGAGCGCATACATACCTTTGATCAGAATCCAGTGTTCTTTTCAGTATTAGAGCTGGACCTTAGAGAATCATCACCAAGTGTCACCTGGAGGCCTGTAGCAGCCTACCTCCAACTGATTTCTAGATGCAACCAGTCATCTTATCCAGTCCAATCCCGGCCCCACACCTGCTTCTCTAAGGATATCTCATACCACTGTCCTCCAGCCACACTGGCCCTCCTTCTACCTCTCCAAGAGCCAAGTTTATTCCTGCTTCAAGGCCTTTGCATTTGCTTTTCCTTGAACGCAGAACACTCTTACCCCAGATCTTAGCAAGGCTGGCTCCCTCTCATCAATCAGGTGTCAGTCTAAAACTCCTCTGCAGTGAGAAAGTAAAAATCAGCCCAGGACTGAGAAAGTACAATGCAGACTGTAACAGGCACAGTTAAGGTGAGCAGCCAGATTAGCAGAAAACAGTGTTCCTCCCAGGGCCAAAGTGTACCTGCAAAAAGACTAAGACCTCTTTCTAAATGATGATGCTTACCTATCAATTACTTACCCAGCCTCACTTTGTTCTAGTTACCTTTTGAATAAAAATTGCTCAATCACTTACTTACTGAACTGTGCCCTCTTCATGACAGCATCCATTCAGATCCTCAGAACCATTCAGGATAAGCCAACCCTAGAAAAAGCCCTTCCCCCACCCTCTTACTGAAAGTCCCCACCCTGCAAGTTCCCTTAATTTTTCATGGTGTACTCCAACAAATTAATAAACCTAACTCTGATTATAGATACTATTCCTAGTGGTGTTTATCTGATGGGCTTTTATCAACAGAAAAGCTTCCCCAAACCACTTCATCACTGTATAATCTCTCAACTTATGTCTTTGATTGAACATATTGTCATCTTATATTGTCTGTCTCCCTCTCACTAGAACTTAAGCTTTGTGAGTAGGGGCCTTGTTTGACTCGTTCTCAGCCTAATGCCCAATGCACATTAGGTACCAAATAAATATTTTCTAAATGAATGGAGTATTTAAACCCACTTTCTATGACATTGTTCTGTCAGCTAGACCACATTGTTTAGTTAATTATTCATTCCTAGTAACAGGGCGCAGCTAGAATCTTAGATAGAATTAGGAGGAAAGCAGAGGTGCAGGTAAAAGAAGATTGGCAACAAGTAAAGCCCAAATAGGGCAAGGCCCAGGGTGTGGCCAAGGTCTGGTGGGGTTCCTGGAGTGCAGGGGACGGAGTGCAGGGGACAGAATGCATGCTGCAGAGTAGGTACTCTGTAACTGTTCACCTGTTTTTCCCTTTCCCTGCCCTTCAAACAAGCGCACCCCATATACCAATTTGTGAAATTTCTTTAAAGTAAGGAACACATTTTTCTTCCTTCCCAGTCCCTAATGCAGAGACTTATTCAAAGTGAAATTAATGGTTATGTTTTGAGTAAATTTGAAATGATAGTTGACCCGTTTATTCTATTTCACTCTAGGTATTTCCCCCCAAGTCCTCCTCAGACTCGGAGACAGAAGAGGAGTTGTCTGGGGATGGGCTGGTTTTGCCCAGGGCTGGCAAACTGGATGACTTCCTTGGCCCAGAGGACTTGACGCTTTCTGATTCTTCTGACTCAACTGGGAGTTTTTACGAGACCCTGGAGGTACTAAAGCAGAAAGGCAAGTGGTGCCTGTTGGAATCCCTTTATCAGTCTGACCCAGACAGTGGTGAGAATTTCTCCGAAGATGATGAGGACCTGGAGAGTTTCTTCCAAGACGAAGGCAGGGGGAAGCCACAGGTCCAGTACCCCATGTCTCCAAGGTAAGGCACTGCAGTTCCCCAGCTGCTTCATGCACAACTCTGGCCAAGTCTCATCATGACTCTGGGCCTCATCCTCTTCCCAGTAAAGCAAAGACCACTTTTGCAAGTTGTCCCTTACCCAGACTCCAGCTCAGAATCAGCCTTTGGAGCCAAACATGTTCTGGTTCCTACCCGGCCGTCCTAAGTCACTTTGGGTTACCCTTAGTTACTGGAAGCACTGGAATTGATTAAAGGGATACCTTTCTCACTCCCTCCCTGAGAATGGCAACAAGGTACATTTACCTTAGCCAAGCCCTGTTATATGCATGTACGCTGCATTTATATGATATTTAATATTTATTTTCTCTTCCCACTAACCCTGTAAGTAGATAATTATTTTTGCCATTCTCCAGATGAGGAAATCGAGGTTCCAAGCAAACCCTGCTAAAGGTCACACGGCTGGTAATTGTTTGAAGCAAGATTTGAACCTGGGTCCGACTCTAAAGCCCTGCTGGGTACCATTGCACTGTTCTCCCGCCCATATGAAAATACTAGAATGCAGGGCGCCTGGCTGGCTCAGTCAGTGGAGTGTGCAACTCTTGATCTCGGGGGCTGTGACTTCGAGCCCCGGGATGGGTGTGGAGATTACTTTAAAAAAATAAAATCTTTAAAGAAAAAACCTAGAAAATATTAGAATACAAAGTGGCAATTCTTGAATCAGTTCTGAGAAAAGACTTCCTAATGGGCTGCTAGATGGCCTGAGGGAAAGGAGGGAGGCCCAGTTGAGAGAGGCACAGGCTCAGAGGCCTGTGGGGTGATGCTAGGCTGAGAAGCCAGCTGCCACCTCCTGGGAGGGAGGACTGGGGAGGAGCCGGAGGAGGAGCCAGCCTCCGGTCTGCTGTGTCCTCCACGTGTCCTCCAGTGTCCTCCACGTGTCCTCCACGCAGCTGCTTTCTCCCCCCAGGTGTGGCTCCACAAGGCGCTGCAGCTTGCTGAGCAGCCTTCCGTCCGACGACCCCAAGGGTCAGCCCCCGCCACCCTCAGGCTCCAGGCCTCCCTCGCAGCACAGAAGTCTCAGCTCCTGGGCATCATCCATCACCGTCCCTCGGCCGTTCCGCATGACGCTGCGTGAGGCCCAGAAGAAGGCCCAGTGGCTGGCGTCCCCTGCCTCCTTCGAGCGGGAGAGGAAGCAGGCCCAGCAGCAGGGTCAGGAGGAGGCCGAGTGCCACCGGCAGTTCCGGGCACAGCCCGTGCCCGCGCACGTCTACTTGCCCCTCTACCAGGAGATCACGGAGCGCAGTGAGGCCCGCAGGCAGGCAGGGATCCAGAAGAGGAAGGAACTGCTCCTCTCCTCCTTGAAGCCCTTCAGCTTCCTGGTGAAGGAGGAACAGAGAAAGGAAGCTGCTGAACAGAGAAAGGAAGCTGCTAAACAGAGGGAGTTGGCCGCCACAGCCAAGGCCAAGGTCCCCAAGCAGAAGGCCACCAGAAGGATCCCCAAGTCCATTCTGGAGCCAGCCCTTGGGGACAAACTCCAGGGTAAAGACCCCCCCCCCCGCCACCCTCACCTTGCTGCCTGCTGCCTGGGGGCTACCAAGAGGTGCTGTGGGGACGTAGGCTCGGGGGTCAGCCTGGCTGGGAGATAAATTCATTGCTCGGGAGGACCGGCCTCCGGGTCACGCTCAGGGCAGGCCACGGGGTAGGGCTGGCTCTGTCTGTGTCGCGGGGAGCCCTGGCAGGAGCGGGCCATGCGAGGTGGCGCAGCATTCCCCAGCTTGGTCCTGTGAGCCCTGCCAGTGAGGCGGCGAATGCGCGGGCAGCCGCTCAGGTACAAGAACGGAGAGCCAGAGAGACACACCCAAGGGCCGGCTTAGGCCAGTGCCGCCACCAGCTGGCCCTGAGGCCAGCTCCCACCCCTCCCTCATCCTGGTGAGATGCACATGCCAAGAAATGGGGTTCGGGGAAAGGACTCAGGCTTTACTGTTCAGTAAGGTGCCAAGCCCTGTCTGGAATAGACAGACATGGAGTTGGTGGACACGGGAGGAAGACAGGTACTGGATAACAAAGCTACAGATCTGAGGGATTTGCAAGGATGAAAGGCTTGCCCCTCACAGAGCACAGGACAGGGGGACCTAGCTTTGCATGTGGTGATGTGGTGAGGCGGCCGGAGCAGATAGGGAAAGGCCCCGGGCGAAGTGAGCGCTGAGGTGGACCCTGAAGGACGGGAAGAGGGAGGAAGCGTGAGCCAGAGAGAACAGCGCGGAGGTCAGAGGACGCTGAGCACATTCAAGGAACAGGGGGCAGGAGAGAAGAGGGAATGGGGAGGGAGAGGCAGGCCGGGCCACACCTGGGGGCTTGTAGCCGTGGGAGGAAATTTGGACTTGATCCAAGGGCACTGGGGGGCCCCTGAAGGGCTCTAAGTAGGGTGGCTCCGGATCAGATCTGCGGCTCAGGAAGATCATTGAGGTGGGGAGGGCCGGGCCTGGAGGGATGTTGGTCTGTAGGCCACTGCGACAGCAGTTCAGTGGAGAGATGGTGAAATTAGCAGCAGGGACAGTGAGGAGAGGCCAGACTGGAGCACGCTTAAAGAGCAGAGCCCGCAGAACTTGGGACTGACCAGAGAAGGCAGGCAAGAATGATTTGGGCAACAGCGTGAGCCTCTGGGTGGATGGTGGGGGCTTGCCCTGAGCCGGTGGGGTGGGGGGGGGACCTGAGAGAGGAGGGGTGACCGGCCTGCCCCTCCAGCTCCGCCTTGGAAGAAGGAACCACAGAGAGCGCTCAGTCGGCATCCATGGTGGCTGGCTCACAGCCTACTGGCACCCGGCCGCCGTGTCCTGGCCAGTGTTTATGAACGAACTCTCCAGAAAAGACAAAGCAAGCTGATCTGTAGTGTTTGCCATTTTCCGTGGTCTAAGTACACTTCTCCTGGCCAACGCGGAGCTTCCCACATGATGTCAGCTGGTGCCCGAAATTCCCACAAAGCTGTCGGTCAGCTCCGGCACACCACTGCTAGTGTTTGAGGGAACATTCTCCAAACCTTTAGGGATGCGGTACGGTCCCCTCTCTCCCATCACCTCCCTGACTTTTTCTCCACAGAAGCAGAACTCTTCAGGAAAATTCGCATCCAGATGCGAGCCCTAGACATGCTCCAGAAGGCCTCCTCCCCTATCGCCTTCTCCGGCAGCCGACCTGACCCACAGCCTCGCACGGCTACCCGAACCCAGAAGGAAAAGCTTGCATTTCTGCACCCTGACTTTGGATTCCAGCCTCGGGTGAATCCTGCCGTCCCTGACTACGAAGGCCTTTACAAAGCCTTCCAGAGAAGAGCTGCCAAGAGAAGGGACGCCAGGGAGGTGACTCGCAACAAGCCCTTCTTGCTGAGAACCAGCAGCCTGCGTGGCGCTCAGCGGCCCAGTGATGCCGCCACGTCTGGAGGGAGGAGGGTGAGAGCCCGGGCAGGTGCAGGAGGGGCAGGGCCCGGGACCCAGCGGACCGGCCAGTCTCAGCGGGAGGCACTTCTCCTGACATTTTCCTATCTTTTTTTTTTAAAAAAACACTGGCTCACTATAGAAGACTGATGATGAATCATTGACCTCTATCTCTGAAACTAGTAATACATTATATGTGAATCAATTGAATTTAAATTTTAAAAAGTTAAAAAAAACAACACTGGCTCAGTTGTAAACGCCACAATTCCTATAAACTTACAACCATAAGAATACTTCCTTTCCTTGCCTTCCTAGAGGGAACTTTTCTAGAGGAAATTTGCAGAAATAAATCCAAGCAAGTCTAGAACGTAGGGAGTTGGGACCAATTGCTCAGGTCCCTATATCAATTCTAAAGAACTCTTCTCATCTGATTTTAAAACTTTAGGATTGATATCCAACTTTAGGCCTGGTAATAAACCCATTACTCTTTCTCTAATCCCAGGGGGAAAAAAAAAGATGCTTGGTCTGACTAGTCCTTCACTGAAATTGAATCCTAGTTAGAATAGAAACTAGTCACACATTGCTGTCCCATCAATACCAACCTTCGTTTCTTCCAGGACTCTCCACAGCCACCAGCCACACCCCTGCCAAGGAGTCGTTCTCTGAGTGGCCTTGCTTCCCTCTCTGCCCACACCCTCCCTGTGCACATCACGGACGTCACCAGGAAGAGGGAATCTGCAGTCAGGTGAGTGGTCGGGCTCGAGATCTTGGCCCAGGATCGAGATCAGTGGTCAGCACCCGGGTCTTGACCCCGATGCTAGAAACCATCCTGCTGCTGGGCCTCCTCTTCGGTTATTAGAGAGACGTATAGGGGTGGAAGGGAACTCTCTGAGCAGGACGGGAATACACGTAACCCTCCACATGTAGTGCTGGAGAACACCTGGCCATCACTCAGCAGATAGTCAACTCTGTGCCAGTCAAATGGCAAGGCTGGAGATACCTTATGGAACCTCTAGTTTATTATCTAGTATGAAATACAGAAAAACAAAGAAGTTACCGTATTTTGCAAGAAGTGCAGTGGTGGGGGAATACAGGGAAACTTGGGGGCACTGGACAGCCTGCGGCAGGGGTCTCTTTAATAGATCTCTGAAGAATGAGGAGTTAGCCAAAGGCTGGAAAGAAAGAAGGTTCCAGAGAGAACAACATGGGGGAAGACCCACAGACGAAAGAGGGAGCCATTAGGAACAGGAATGCAGAGGCGCATGGGGGCAGGTGGCAGACCCAGTCACAAAGAGAAGGCGTCCACAGCACAGATTTGAGATTCTCTGAGATTCATCTTTGGGGAACTCTCAGAAGTTGGTTGGGAAGCAGGAGCCTCCTTACTTTTTAATTCTTTAACTGACCTGACTCTGTCATAGTACTGCTGTCATCAAACCAGCACCCCAGCAAGAGCTCCTCCACTAGACCTCTGAGCTGGAGTCAGCAGGAAAGGTCGTGGTAATACAAGCAGCTGAGCTCTGGGAGAGGACTAGCATCTTAGTGCTTTCCTGTGGGGCTCACAGAGGAGTACACAGGACCTACTTGGCTCTTGAGGACCCCACCATGGGGATCTTAGAAATGTATTTAAAATCCAAGGGATACTCCCTTCTTCTTCAGATGTCTTAGAGCAACTAAATGAAGGCTAAATGCATCAGTATCTTGAGGCCCCAATAAGGTAAGCCTTAGGAACCAGAGGCTGGTGCCTCTAGGGGATGTCCATATCTGCTTCCCAGCAACAGGGAGTTTGATATAATAGCAGACTCAGCTTTCATGCCTTCCTTCCTAATCTGTTCATTTGAATGTAAATAATCCAAATGCAAGAGTCTTTTTTTAAAAAAATACACCTTTTTTATTTTTAAAATTTTATTTATTTATTTGAGAGAGAATGAGAGAGCGAGCATGAGAAGGGGGAGGGTCAGAGGGAGAAGCAGACTCCCCGCTGAGCAGGAGACCGATGCAGGACTCAATCCTGGGACTCCAGGATCGTGACCTGAGCCGAACGAGGGCAGTCGCTTAACGACGTGAGCCACCCAGGCACCCCAAATGCAAGAGTCTTGACTGTTGTTTCTTTTGGTAGAACTCTCCACAGTACCTTGTCAAATGATACTTAGACAAACTAGGTGCTGTTAACCCCAAACTGTGCATGGAAAGAGGCCTTTTTTTCAGTTTTCTGTGAAAAAAATGCAGATTTGTATTCCCAAGGGACCATGACCCCAGGTACCTTCCAGCCCACCCTTTACAGCACAGTGGTCAAGGGCAGAGGCTTGGGAGTCAGACATCCTGGTTCAAATCTTGGCTTTTCCAAGGGCATGCTGGGTGGCTTTGAATAAGTGGCTTACCCTCTCTGAACCTCAGTCTCCTTGCTTATAAAAAGAGGGGCTTACAGTTCTTACCTCATAGGGCAGTTATGAAGATAATGGATATAAAGCACTTGATTCCTTTCTGCTCTTGGTTCAGAGTAGGTAGCTCAGCAAATGGCAGCTCTTAGAATCGTTTTGTTTCCAGACAGGCCAGAAGCCTGAGTGTAAGGATATTTTAACTCATGTGTTTTTCAGTTCAGTTAACGAACTTCTCCTGGAGCAGAAAATCACCGTGTCCATAGTGCTGGGAAGGCTTGTTCTGCCAATCTCAGAATCCTATTCTTTCTGAAATGCCAGTGTGGTAAATCACTCCCTTCATAGAAAACACCATTTTACTTTCCAGAGAGGTTACTAAGATTGCTTTTAAATATACTCAAGTTGGTCATCTGTATGGTTTTTGCCTCCTCTCCTTAGAAGTTCACTTGAAAAAAAGGACAAAGCAGATGAGAGTACTCAGTGGTTGGAGATGCACAAAAAGAAGTGTCAAGCGATGTCTAAATCCGTGACCTTGCGTGCGAAAGCCATGGATCCCCATCAAAGCCTGGAGGAGGTGTTCAAAGAAAAGCTGAAAGAGAATCGGTCAGTGTCCTCCATGTGTCAAAGGGTGTCCCTGTCTTGGGATCCAACAGATCACTGGCCTTGAACAACGGCAAAATGGAGTCATTAGAGTAGACTCCTATAACTGCACACAGTCAAGGATTTTGCTAGGCACAGTTAGGAATTTACAATGTCCTTGGGAATTACTCTGCTTAATTGGAGTGAAGGGCATTTCAGATTGGAAAAAGATAGAATTCATTCTAAAAATCTTGTTAATTCCAGGAACAATGACCGTAAAAGAGCAAAAGAGTATAAGAAAGAATTGGAAGAAATGAAGAAGAGAATACAGACGAGGCCGTATCTCTTCGAACAAGTTACCAAGGTAAAACTAAACCATCATTCACTTTCTTCCAGTCTTGGATGAAAGGGCTCTTAGAAATGATGGAACAGTTTATTTTTAAAGATTTTATTTGTCAGAGAGAGACAAAGGCAGAGCACAACCAGGGGGAAGGGTTTGAGGGAAAGGGAGAAACAGACTCCTCATTGGGCAGGGAGCCTGATACAGGGCTCGATCCCAGGACCCCGGGATCATGACCTGAGCCGAAGGCAGATGCTTAACCCACTGAGCCACCCAGGCGTCCCAGTGATGGAATAGTTTAATATCTGGGTATTAATAACATTTCCTGGAGGCTTAGATTCTAAATTGGGCCTGTTTTATTAATTACCATTCCACCCCAGCCCCCCCATTAAGTAGTGCAGTGGTGAATGTTGCTTGGACTGATTTCATCCAAGACTGGACTCCAGAAACATCTATTGGGAGTATTTCACTTCCTGGAGTGTTTGCTACAGTCTAGCTTTCAGTTTGAATCATGGTGAGGGCTAGATCCCACATACCCAGGGGCAGCTTGGCTGTGTTAATGAGACGGTCTTTAACTTACTAACATCATCTCTCCCCCTGCAGTGCTGGGCCCCTGGGCAGCCCCAGCCTCTAGAGCTGTGGCAGGCACATTTATGGGTCTCCAGACATTGAGATGCTCACAAGCACCCCATAAAGCCCTTTTCAGATTAAGTGGCTTTCAGGATGGAAGAATCATTTTAAGGTGTTCTCTAGACCTCTAGGGAAGTTGAGATCTCTCCCTAAGGAAGCTCTGGAGCTATCTGAACAGCCTTAGAAAGGCCACCATCCCTGGAGGTTTTGGGTTGTATCAGACTCTGTAGATCCTTCTCTCCAGTTTCAGAAAAAAGTTGAGGTTTCCTAGTGACCTGATTCCAACTACTGGACATTATTTCCATCTTACAGCCAGTGTGTTATCTAGGCATTTCCCAGGTACACTCCTCTCCACCCCCATACATGCCACACACAGACGCACACATGCTGGACAGTCTTGGGTTTACGTAGCAACTTGCATTGTTCAAAATCTCTCATAATGACCTTTCCTCTAATTTTTTCAAGCAAAGCTCACTCTCTGATCTCAACAGATGTTTCACCACTCTAGGAAAAATACAAAGTGCTCTATATGATTTTGTTTAAATCAAAACAAACAAAAAATAACCTTTTTCTGGTCCACGTGCAGACCATCTATCCTGTTAAGAGTGTTACTAGTGGGATGCCTGGGTGGCTCAGTCGGTTAAGTGTCTGCCTTCGGCTCAGGTCATGATCCTGGGGTCCTGGGATTGAGTCCGGCATTGGGCTCCTTGCTCAGCGGGGAGTCTGCTTCTCCCTCTGCCTGCCGCTCCCCCTGCTTATGCTCTCTGACAAATAAAAATCTTAAAAAAAAAAAAACTGTTACTAGTGTAGTTTATTTCCTGTTTGTTATATGTTAGTGGGTTTTTTTTTTTTGATATCTTAGCGTTCATGATAATGATTTGGTTGTTTTTATTTTTTATTTTTTTTTTTAATTTATTTATTTGACAGGGAGAGACACAGCGAGAGAGGGAACACAAGCAGGGAGAGTGGGAGAGGGAAAAGCAGGCTTCCCGCGGAGCAGGGAGCCCGACATGGGGCTTGATCCCAGGAACCTGGGATCATGACCTGAGCCGAAGGCAGACGCTTAACGACTGAGCCACACCCAGGCACCCCTGGTTGTTTTTAAATCTTCTTTTTTTTAAGATATTTATTTAAGGACACCGAGGTGGCTCAGTCAGTTAAGTGTCTGCCTTCGGCTCAGGTCATGATCCCAGGGTCCTGGGATTGAGCCCCGCATCGGGCTCCCGGCTCCGTCGGGAGCCTGCTTCTCCCTCTGCCTGCCGCTCCCCCTGCTTGTGCACGCTCTCTCTTTCTCTCAGATAGATAGATAGATAGATAGATAGATAAAAATAATTTTTTTCTTTAAGATGTTTATTTACTCTAGAGAGAGAACACAAGCAGAAGGGGCAGAGGGAGAGAGAATCTCAGTTGACTCTGCACTGAGCGTGCAGCCGGACTTCCGGGGCTCAGTCCCGGAACCCTGAGATCATGACCTGAGCCAAAACCAAGAGTTGAACACTTAACCGACTGCGCCACTCAGGCGCCCCTGGTTGTTTTTGAATCTTAAAATGTTTTTAAGTCCATTTTTTCATCTGAGTCTCACTTGGTCTTCCAAAAATCTAAATCCTTGCTTCTAAAAGGTGTGGCTCCCAAATCAACAGTTGGCATCTCCTGGGAGTGTTAGATGTACAGAATTGTGAGCCTTATGTGAGACCTACCGAATGAGAATTTACATTAATAACAAGATCTGCAGGTAGTTCCTATGCACTTTAAGGCTTGAAAAGGCTCTAAGAACTTTTCATGCACATCGGTGCCCAGCATTAATGGGGGGTTGGGGTAGGGGGCAATTTTAGGCATACAGATGAAGCAAGTGATTTAAAATTACCTGGTAATTCTTAAGACAGCTCCAGCAGATTAATTTCCATTCCACAGGACCTTGCCAGGAGAGCCGCAGAACAACGGTATCGAGACACCCTGAAGCAGGCTGGGCTGGATGAAGACTTTGTGAGGAACAAGGGTCAGGGCAGCCGGGTTGTACAATGGCGGGAGCAGTCAGAAGTCCGTGATTGTCGCAGGTAATCTCGGATGCTCCTTGTTATCCTGCAGCTCTCAAACTGCCACCCCTCGTAATGCCACCGCTCGTATATTTTGAGATCACAATCCTGTATGTACAGAATACTAACCCAGAGATCTCCACACAACACATTTAAAATGGGAGAATAGTGCAGTTGTGAATAAAATATAACTATATGAGGTGTAGATTCCTTCGATTTGAAACAGATCATTTTTCCAATTCTAGTTCCAGGGCCATCAATCAAAAGTATTTCCACTTCACTTTTGAAGAACAAACGTTTGTGTGTCTGTGGGTATAAAGGTGCCCCAATGTATATTTTTACTTACTATAAAATGATAAAACTATTTTTCTAGCACTTTTTGTTTGGATAACTGTAGGTAAAAACCTATATAGAGCCACAATTAAAGCTATACTATCCTGAACAATCAAAGCCTTTCTTTTCCCCTCAGCATGGTCACCATGGCTTGTTAAAATCTAACACTCATGGGGCGCCTGGGTGGCTCAGTCGTTAGGCGTCTGCCTTCGGCTCAGGTCATGATCCCAGGGTCCTGGGACCGAGCCACGCATCAGGCTCCCTGCTCAGCGGGAAGCCTGCTTCTCCCTCTCCCACTCCCCCTGCTTCTGTTCCCTCTCTCGCTGTGTCTCTGTCAAATAAATAAATAAAATCTTTAAAAAAAATAAAAATTAAAAAAAAGATAAAATCTAGCACTCATTAAAAACGTAACGCCAATGGCAGCACCCCGCCATTGGTATCATGTAAGTGAAGGGGAGAAAAGCATAGTATCGCCATTACTCTCAACTTTTGTTTTGTTTCTTAAATCCTAATGGCCCCTCCCCTAATTCCTATCCCAGTTTTCCCCCTAGGAATTTCCCTTTACACCCCATATAAAATAATGAAAATGTTGAAACCATCCTTAAGCCTTACATAATGCTTTAATTAAAAACATTTTATTTCATAATGCTTTAATTTATTCTGTAGCACCCATGAAACTACAAAACTCAGCACCAGAAATCCACAGCAGGATTTAGAAGAATCTCTACAGCAGCCTACAAGCCCCAAGAACTGGAAGAGCTGTCTTATGAATTGCTAGATAATTTCAAATCACTTGCTTAATCAGTAGCACTTAAAATTACTGCTTTTCAGTATTAACCAGCTAACTTGGGGTTCAGTCAAGGCAGGCAAAACTTGGCTTCTGAGTGAATGGCTACTCTTGGAGAATGGGGAAAAGAGAAGTAGCAGGGGGAAAAAAAGCAGATGACAAACAGGGAATGAATGGTTTAAGTAAATCAAAGTGAACAACCTCAGGGCAGAGGGATCAGAGCTAAGCATTCTTGCTTTGTGCCTCCTACTTTAAAAAAAAGGGCACAAGCCCAAATGCCTACGAGAGGCGTTAGCAAACAAAGAGATCACATGGGCTGGGTATGATAGTAGGAGACAGTAGAGACTAGAGTCTCTGCTAGAACACAGGCCCAGAACTGCCAGATCAAGCGAGCTTTCAACAGAAGCCAGAAATTTGCATGTTGGCAACTAATTTAAAAATTATTAAGAAATATTGTGTGGGGTAGGAAGGGAAAAATGAAAGGGGGGATGTCGGAGGGGGAGACAAACCATGAGAGACTGTGGACTCTGAGAAACAGAGGGTTCTAGAGGGGAGGGGGTGGGGGGATGGGTCAGCCTGGTGATGGGTATTAAGGAGGGCACGTTCTGCATGGAGCACTGGGTGTTAGATGCAAACAATGACTCATGGAACACTACATCAAAAAAAAATTAATAAAAAAAAAAAGAAATATCGTGTGGGAGTAACAAAACACCTGCAGGATGACAAGCTTGCAGCTTCTAGTACAGGGTCTCCCAATCTCAGTATATCCACATTTTGAGCCAGATGAGTCTGTGTTGGGTGTTGGGAGAGGGAGCTGTCCTGTACATTCTGGGATGTGTAGCAGCATCCGTGGCTTCTACTTGCTAGATGCCAGTAACTCCCTCTCCCCAGTTGTGCCGAACAAAAATGCCTCTAGATATTGCCACATGTGGGGCAGGGGGCAGGCAAAAATGTTGCCAATTAAGAACCATGCTATAGTATAAAAGTAAGGCTACAGGAAGTAAAAACTGGGAAATTAAGAATACAAGAAATTGACATGAACTCAATCTACATAGCAAAGGATGATTATGCATGTCATTAACAATTAAGAACTGTATTTATTACAGCGGTTAATTCTTTCCTGTTATCTGCTTAGAATACGCCACTGTGTGCATGGTATGTATGTGTCAGCATGAGGTTCATTTTAAATAAAGTGAAAATTCTCTGACAGCCATGATTTTCTACTAGTAAGTGATCTCTGGAACACTCTTCTTCTCACCAATGATTAATTAAATATTCTCTAACAGCTGTAGAGACAGGATGATAGCAAGAGTGCCTACTCTTAACAGAAGCACATTTCTCATGTTTTTGTTTTTTTTAACTTTCTGGAAAAATTCAAAAGTATCTATTATTGCCATTTTTCCAGACTCAGACATGGTCCCTTCTGGTGATGACAGAGCGGTACTATGATAACTACTATCTAGGTTTGCTAGTTAGAGATGAAGATGGTCATGTCCTGTTCCCCAAGACTCCTGGGCTCAGTTTTACCTGCATGGTATCCAAAGGGTAAATCAGTGCCCTCTCTTAAAGGGAAAGCCTGAACTATTTTCTTAATCTCCTCTCTAAGTAAACAGGTTTTGTCCAAAACAAGGAACCAAAGAACTGACTGGGCTGTCTTGTTTATTTAAAGGGAAAACAACTGAAGCTCTGAATCATGTGATATTTAACTTTAAAAAAACAAAAAACCTTTTAACATGCTACTGTATATTCCATAAACAAAGAAAGCAAACTGACCAAGTAGAAGTGGATATGACAAGATAGTACCTCAGCCCGGGCCAAGTAGGGATTCAAGTAATTTATTTTTTGCAGCCCAGTGGCAGAGTCTCTTACTCAGGTTGCTAAAGGGATAATGCCACAACAGAACTGACATCACTCCCTTCTCCAAAGCAACAAGGCATCTCGAAAGCTCAACTTCTTGGTGAAGTTTTATGGTTGGTGGCAGGACTTAGTTCATCCATGTGAAAAGACAGCTGAGTCGAGGATGAAAATTCTTCAGAGGAAAATCCCATCTCAACAGTCATACTGAAGAAATTTCAGCCAACACATAATCCAATTCCCTTTTGGGAGAAGTCCTTCCCAAAATTGTGTAGTGGGAAGAGAGGTAGGTACAGTTACCCAGCCCACATTCACTGCTTTCTTGTCTGGATCAGATGTGGTTTGAAGAGAAGCTCTCCCACATTCATCTTCTATGTCAGGAAAGATGAACAGAGGCAGACGTCGGGTCCTGTCCTTCACAGATTGATTTTGGTTCTGGCAGACCATGAGCCAGAAGCATCCTGTTCCCACTACGTGCACTCTGGGATCAGATAGAGCTGCTCTTCCAGGAGTCAGTGCCCGTGCTCATGTCCGGCTTTCAGTTAATTCTCCTTGGTTTAGTAACTGTAAAAGATGAAAACCAAATCTGGAATAAAGTCTACCAATGAATAACAGAAAAATAATTCGTACTAAGGAAAAGGTTTATGAGTGGAAGTGGGGAATGCACAGCCGAGGTGAGTCAAGGATACCTAGAGCTCCAAAGCAAGAGACCACGTAGACTGATAGATCTTTCATATCCTGGCCTTGGGATAGCATTCTGGCCACTTCATGATGCTGGCATGTTCACTACGGCAATAAAAGATCCTGAGTCCATAAGCCAAACTATTGTTTGTGTAGTCACATACTCACTAGTCAGTGATGGAGGCATCCATAACTTACAGATACGTCAGAAATGGTAGAAAAAATCTTACGTCAGTGTTTGGTCCAAAGTACAGGCAGAATGCTCAAGGAGAAGTAAGAGGAATGGGAAGCTATTCCCAATGAGTTCTATATGAGAGCTAGAAACCACTCATAAGGAATCCAGCAATTCGGGGCGCCTGGGTGGCTCAGTTGTTAAGCATCTGCCTTCAGCTCAGGTCACGATCCCAGGGTTCTGGGATCGAGCCCCGCATCGGGCTCCCTGCTCGGCGGGCAGCCTGCTTCTCCCTCTCCTACTCCCCCTGCTTGTGTTCCCTCTCTTGCTGTGTCTCTCTCTGTCAAATAAATAAATAAAATATTAAAAAAAAAAAAAAAAAGGAACCCAGAGGACATGCTGTTACTGCGTTAACCCAGTCACTGTATTTCGAAGGCAAAATCAGCAACTTTTGGCAATCTGCTGCTATTTGTCATGGTCCTTGTAATAATGTTTGTGAAGGAATAGAAAACAAATCAATGTTTAAAAAAAAAAAAAAAAGGAACCCAGCAATTCCCAGGGCTTAGAAGGATACCTCTCCTAGGATGGAGACAAGCCTGAGACTCCAAGAGGGCGGCAGCTAAAACAGACTTTCTACTCTACACTCAAGGCTTTCTGTTGAAAGGCAGTTCTGTACAATAACTGATGAACTTGGGTTCCATTTTATTATGAGAATGAGATAGAAATAACAGTGAAATTCAGAATAAAAATTTGGCTTAGTAAAATATAACCAGATAAATTCTTGGGCTGAAGACAGATTTACCTGGTGATCTCAATTTGGATGAAAGTACTTTATACAGTAGAATAGGATGGAATATGAAGAAATTTAAACAAAATTTAAAGAAACCACAAATTTCATTTGATGCTATGTGGTGGGGATGTAAGAGTGGTGTCTTTTTAATCTAGGTCAAGATCCAGATGTTTGCACTCAAATTTAGCAATGGCACTTTATGAGAAATCTTAAAGAATTTGTAATTTGTTTTCCTCCTTTTTGGGACAAATTCTGATATATTCAAGGCTAGCTGGCAATCATTTACATTGCCTCCTGAGTTCAAGAATGTGAGCTCAATGTGACTACAGAACCCCACTTGGGATTCCTTTTAGTCAGCAAAGGTCTGAAAGCCCTGGGGTCCCAGATGGGCCGGCACAATGAGTCCTCTGATTTGCAGGAGACTGGGTAACACTGAGGGCAAAATAAAAATTGTCCAATCTGAACCATCGGAATAAGATGTAGTTTTGATAGGGCGCCTGGGTGGCTCAGATGGTTAAGTGTCTGCCTTTGGCTCAGGTCATGATCTCAGGGTCCTGGGATCAAGTCCTGCACCGGGCTCCTTGCCTAGCAGGAAGCCTGCTTCTCCCTCTGCCTGCCACTCCCCCTGCTTGTACTCTCCCATTCTCTCTCTCTCTCTGGCAAAAAAATAAATAAAATCTTAAAAAAAAAAAAGATATAGTTTTGATAGATTTCCCTTTTTTTTTAAGAGGAATTTTTAAAGTATGAGTCATTCGTTTATTTTTAATTTTTAAAATTTTTTTTGATGTAGTGTTCCATGATTCACTGTTTGCATATAACACCCAGTGCTCCACGCAGAATGTGCCCTCCCTAATATCCATCACCAGGCTAACCCATCCTCCCACCCTCCTCCCCTCTAGAACCCTCAGTTTGTTTTTCAGAGTCCATCGTCTCTCATGGTTCATCTCCCCCTCCGATTTCCCCCCCTTCATTCTTCCCCTCCTGCTATCTTTTTTTTTTTTTAACATATAATGTATTATTTGTTTCAGAGGTACAGATCTGTGATTCAACAGTCTTGCACAGGTCACAGTGCTCACCATAGCACATACCCTCCCCAATGTCTATCACCCAGCCACCCAATCCCTCCCACCCCCCACCACTCCAGCAACCCTGTTTGTTTCCTGAGATTAAGAATTCCTCCTATCAGTGAGGTCACGTGATACATGTCTTTCTCTGACTGACTTATTTCGCTCAGCACAACACTCTCCAGTTCCATCCACGTTGCTGTTTATTTTTTAAGTAATCTCCACACCCAACATGGGGCTCAAACTCACCACCCTGAGATCAAGAGTACCACACTCTACGGACCTAAGCCAGTGAGGTGCCCCTCCCATGATAATTTCTGATACTTGCTTTGGTTATTCTCTGATGTTATTTTTTTTTTTTAGAGATTTTATTTATTTGACAGAGAGAGACAGACACAGAGAGGGAACACAAGCAGGGGGAGCAGCAGAGGGAGAGGGAGAAGCAGGCTCTCCGCGGAGCAGGGAGCCCGACGCGGGGCTCGATCCCAGGACCCCGGGATCAGGACCTGAGCCGAAGGCAGACGCTTAACGACGGAGCCACCCAGGCGCCCCTCTGATATTCTTGATAAGCTTATTTTTAGAGCATATTTGCAGAAGTCCAAGTGCAAGTGCATCAGTAAATTCTTAGAGGTTACAGGTCTGACCTACAATGTGTGATTGTCTCCAAAGCCAGAATTTGAAGTGGACGTGTGCTGGTTTACAAATTGCAAACAGCCGGGGCGCCTGGCTGGCGTGGTCCGTTAGGCGTCCTACTCTTGGTCTTGGCTGAGGTCATGAGCTCAGGGTTGTGAGATCGAGCCCCTCACTGGTCTGGGAGCTCAGCTAAGAGTCTGCTTAAGACCCTCTCTCACTTTGCCCCTCCACCTGCTCTCCGACTCCCTCTCAAATAAATAAAATCTTGTTTAAAAAATTAAAAAAAAAAAAAAAGATTGCAAATAGCCTTCTTCTATCTGCGAATCCCTAAGGAATCAACATCCTTCAATCACTGGAGGAAGGTCAGTCAGTACCAGGAGCTTAGATGAGGAAGAGGACTAAACCTGGAGCCTTGAGGGGCTTGTAGGTTTAAAAAATTACAGTATCAGAGGACGTGGTAAGCCTGCCATGATAAGGAAAAGGAGGGATGAGCAGTGGAAATGCCTGTGATAAGAGGAAAATAATAGAGGTAACAGTGAAGGAAACACAGAAGCGAGGTTCAGACAGAGGGTGTGTTTGTTAAATATGCGACGACCCATGAGGGAAAAGTAATCGTCTAGGATGTTCAGCTACACTAAGGGCAGCACTTTCCCCTTTGTGTTGTTAATATTCTTCTATGAAGTATCTTGGGCTTCCATCATGAAACTGGGTGCTTAGGGCCTATACGCCCTTAGTGTCCTCCTGAGGTGAAGACCGAGTTTTCTTTTGTTTCTTAAAGGTGGTCTGTGGTATTGTGTCTGTCTGAGGCTGTGAGTAAGCATCACCCAGACAAGGACACCCTGAATCCAAGACCCACGTGCCTAGGTCCGAGGGGAACAAATGTGCTATTACCGGACTTTTTGCACACACAAATCGGACCATGTCATACCTGGCTTAATACCCTGCAGTGGCTCTCCACTGTCCCCAGGATAAAATCATGTCCTTGAAGTGAAGGCCCTTCAAGAGAGAAACCAGCTTATCCTTCCTGCTCTCACTTTCCATTCCACATTCCATCTTACTCAACCCTTTGTGGTTCCATAGTTGTGCCCTGCTCCCTCACCTCTGCCCTTGTACACATTGCTGCCTGCTATTTTCTTCCAATCCCTCCCACTTATCCATCAAGATCACTGCTATTCATCCCTCAGGTCTCAAACTCTAAAACTTACTCCCTGACTTCCCCCTAACTAGTACTTCCTACACTATATAAAAAATTGCCCCACTTACTGACCTGCCACCCTTCCCATTCTCTCTGTACAGCACAATTCCAGGGGCACCATTTTGCAGTTATAAAAGGCAGAGGTCCGAAGTCTGACTAAGCTCTTTGGGGCAGAGGCTGTACTTTGTTTACTGTTGTTTAGTACCCAACAGAGGGCCTTGCACTTCATTAGGTATGAAGTATCTGTTGACTATGTTTTTATACATCTGGCACTTGTTTGAGAAAACCTGAAACGCTTCAATAAAAAAAGGTATTTAGCAGGAGAGAAAAGCTCCAAGGTTTCAAATATAAAAAAGGAAAACCCTGAGTGCTGTGGATTGGTTTGTCAGGATAATAATTTCCACTAGATAAAAAAGGAGATGATTTTTCTGAACTATTTTAGAGCAATCCAATAGTTGATGAAATATTTCTTTTATAGAAGAATCACAGTTCATAAAAGCAGAAAGAAAAAGGGAATTAGGATATCACCATTTTGCAAGCCTTAATAAAAAAAACTGATCTAGGCCATGACCAGTAACATTGCCAAAATTTTTATGTAACCCACTGGTCAATCATTAAGCTCAGTAAAAGGAGAACTAGGGGCGCCTGGGTGGCTCAGTTAGTTAAGCGACTGCCTTCGGCTCAGGTCATGATCCCAGGGTCCTGGGATGGAGCCCTGCATCGGGCTCCCTGCTCGGTGGAAAGCCTGCTTCTCCCTCTCCCACTCCCCCTGCTTGTGTCCCCTCTCTCGCTGTCTCTCTCTCTGTCAGTTAAATAAATAAATAAAATCTTTAAAAAAAAAAAAAAAAGAGGAGAACAACTAAACATCATGTCTGCTGTGAGCTGTAACAGGAAGAGTACCACCTATAGAATATTCTTGCCAAGGGGAAAAAACCAAACAGGAATCTAAGCTCCTAACTACCAGTTTTTAGGAAATCTGTAGATAGAGAAATATATTAAACAACAAAAGGAGTCAATCAGCCAAAACCAGAATGTGGGAAATTCTTATTAAATAGTTAAGTCATTCTGAAAAAACGGGGTAGGGAGTGGAGGGTGGGGAAGACTATTAGAGATAAAGAGAATTATTAACCAAATGCAGTGCATGGGCCTTGTTTGAATCCTAATTTAAACCAACCAACCATTAAAAGACATTTTGAGAAAAAATAAAAAGGAACACAGGCTAAGTATTCGAGGATATCAATAAATGATTGTTAATTCTGTTGGGTATGATGAAGACATGAGAGCTATGAAAAAGTACTTACCTGTTAGAGGCATGTGCTGAAATATCTACAATAAAATGGTACGTCTGTGATGTGCTTTTAAACACTCCAGCACAAACAGAACAGCAACAGTAAGAAGTAGGCGGGAAGAGATAATAGCAGAAACTTAACTGTCGAAGTTGGGGGGATAGGTACATGAGTTCATTATACTATACTTTCTCTCACTACACTCTTTGAAAACTCTCATAATAAAAATTTTAAAATACATAAATGAAGAGGGGAAATAATAAAGGAGTCTTCATAGGTGAGATATGTTCCAAAACAGTAGCCAGGAGAAGATGGCTTAGCAAAGAACCAACAGAATCAATAGCAAAAAAACTTTCAATATAATATAAGCAAGACTCAGACAATGGGTCACAATGATGAATACAAGGAAAGGTTCTGGCAGAATCATTAACATGCATGTCCAGAGCCCTGTGATCTTGGGCATCCCCAGGAATCTTACAGAATAATCCGGAATATTTAATATAGGATGCAGTCACCTGAATACGGGAACAGCTGATTTTGTGGTATCAGGTTATAATGAAAAGGTCAGGGGTAAAGACGGCGGAACACTGTAAGAGTTACTATAGTACAAAGGCATCCAAGATACTGAGTTTTGGCAAAAGTTTATGCATATGAAATGAGCTCATGATGGAGTCATCTACTATACCCTAAGATTCTAGAAGCCTGACTGGTTTTCATTCTGTTTTCTGGGTTAGAGCTAAGATCGCAGAGTTGGAAATCTTAGAAGCAATCTAAAACCTCTCCCCGATTTAGATGATGGTTCTCATTCCACAAGCGAGTGAACACGTCCCTAAAGGCCCAATTGGTTCAGCGTGGTATCTCCCAGACATATGATCCTAATAAAATGAACAATGATTATTTTCCATGATTTTGTCACTATCTTTTTTGCTCAAGGACCACTCTGTCCAGGATATTTTCTTTATAAAATAAAAGCAGCATCCTCATGTCATAGACAGAGAACAGTAGGAGCAGATATCATTCAGTAAGGTATGTATATAAAGGAAATTAAAGCTGAGAGACCCAGTCGTGAGTGACCAATCTCCCAATCCAGGAGACCCTAACAATCAAGCTTAAGTTAAGCTGGATTCATGCTTTGCTTAAAGGAAGATTTTCTAGACAAAGTTTCCAGGAAAGGGAAACTGGAGTAATTTTCAGATCATCTAAACTAGATTCCCAACCACTGTCCACGTTAGTCTCCACAGAAACAAAGTAAAGGCAAGAGATAGATTTACCTCCTGTGGATTTACAGCAGTTAAGACAGAAACCCCATATGACTGCCTCCCTGACTGCATGGTCACCAAGTGATGTGTCACATCAGGCACTGAAGACAGGGGACGTGAGGATCCTTCAGCAAGCACCTCTGAAACAGCAGAGAATGTTTCAACAAAAAATGAATCTACAGATATACCCACCTGCATTATCAAGCCTATCCCATCCTGAAAAATCCATATTCCTGTATTCCTTCCAAATTAATTCCTGTCTGATAATAATCATCATTACCAGTGAATTTGGAAAGTATTACAAAAGGGGGATGGGAAGAAATGATATATAAGAGTTGACCATTTTTCAGTATACCAATTTTGAGTAGTATGGCTTTAGCACTGTTAGCTGGATTAGCCATGCATGAAACAGGGCAAAAGCTGCTGAGGCAGGCAGATCCTGGGACCGCAGCCTACCCTTAAAGCAGCCACCAACGATATAAACAGCATACTATGCAGAAGTTAAGAACTTAAATCCGGCTTCAAAATTCCTATTCAGTGTCCCTTCCTCCCTTGAGACTTTCTTCCTTAAGAATGGCAAAGTAGTTCCATGCAATTTCTGTGTCCCACGCTTCAACTATGCACTAGTATCATATTACAAAACCGAGTAGAATTGTTGTGGAAGCATGCTGGGCCGTGTAGGCTCCGCACAGAAGTTTACACAAACATGGTCACTTATACACAAAACTGACTGAGTGGGATACGAGTAACTAAAACACAGGATCTCGGGCTTATCAGTGGGATCACTATAAAAATCTTCTGGAAATAGTTTATACATAAACTACTTAGGCCTCTAATAAATCAAAGTCTCTTCTATGGGGCTTTCAATATATACTGCTCTTCCAGACTGTACTGTGTAATTTAGCATTTACTTACATACTATCTTCTATTCACTCAATGTTGTTTCCCATATGTAAGTTTTGACTTCTCAACTAGATTTTAAGGTCCCTGGTTTCTACTTTTATCTTTCACATGGTGCCAGGCACACAGTAGGCACTGAATAAATGCATGCTGACCTCACCTGTTAAGTTTTTCAGAGAAGAGGGCCTGGCCTGTGTAACTTGGGTGAAATTTCTATACCAGAGAGGAGCAACTGTTTCCTAGAGAGCCCTTTCTTTTCTCCAGAAGATATGGCTTTTGAAGGTATGGAGAAATTGCTTTATATCTCCTCTGTAAAACCTGGTTATGTTCTGTTTAAATGTTTTAAAAGTTAAGTTCTTCCATAACTGCAATAGGAAAGATAGAAATAGTTGGGCTAGGATGCTAAGATTATGGATAATTTTCTTCTTAAATTTTTTTCTCTTTATTCTTTTGTTACATCATCTGTTCAATAAAAAAAAATATTTTTTTAACAGATTCACTTATCCATCCCAGAGACAAAGAACACAAATGCTACGCAATCATACCACAGCCACTCACGAGAAATGAAATTAATTAAAACCTTCATTCTAGAGACAACCCCATTCCTTAGTCCCTAGTTGCAGCCCATTTTCCCCCAAATAAAGGAGAGTTGAAAGTCTTACCATCATCAACTCCTAGGATAGAATTGGTATTTGGTAGGTTCAAGGACTCTCCACCAAGGCTGGGCTGGGAATTCATAGGCACCAGGTTTTTACTGGTTACTGAAGCCTCTTCAAGCAAACTACTGCCCATTAGTGGCTCAGCTGCACAGAGAACAGGATGTGAGAGACACGCTGCAGGCAAGGCTGTGCCTGGTCCCCATTTTCCTTCACAGGAAGCTGGCCTTTCCTTTCAGAACTGGAAGTTAACCTGTATCATGGATGCTATCTACTTTTGGGGAACAAGAATAAACCTAGAAGGGAAGGGTGGAGCCTCATAGATAAATATCCTTGCCTGCAATCAGCATGTGGAGAATATATGAAATGGGATGGATGCATCCTTGGAAAGGAGTAGATGGAATGAAATAATTGATTAAAGACATGGAAAAAAAAATAAAAACGAGTTATCAAATTTAAGTTAGGGTAAAAAGGGAATCATGAATGATATGTAAAAAATGTTTAAACCCTTGTCTTACAGAAGACTTTATTACAGTAATACTTAAATGCTGGTTCATGGATCAGCACTAGTTACCATTAAACTCACTATAGAAACCAAAACTACAGATTCTGGGATCTTACTCCCAAATAATTTCAGTTATCAGTTTGAACTGTTTTGTTTTATTTGCGGGTGAGGGGTGGATGGCAATACAAATATATACACTTTAAAAGCTTACAGATTTTACTGTAGAGCTATATTTGGAAACCAATAGTCCATCAAATGAGACTAGGTCTCTCTCCCTAACACAGAATCTGAAAATTTCCAAATAACCAGATAGGCCAGTTATTTGGCTTTTTGAACCCAGAAGATACAGCCCTCCACTCCACCTTCTCTCCTCACCAGTTTGCTCCTGCTCTTGACTCCCAGCTGCTCCCAGCTGCAAATGATGCTTTCTCATGTGCACATTCCTACTCCCACTCTGAGAGAAGGTCTTCCCACAGACTTGACACTGATGAGGCTTCTCTCCTGAAAGAGAGAGCAGGTTAAGACAGGGTAGCCAAAAAAAAAATAGGGTACATTTCTGACATCAAGAGAATGGACTCAAGACCTGGACAGAGAAGTTCAGAGACTGTTAAACTAAACAGAAGAGGCTTTTCCTCCTCCCATTCTCCACCCAGCCTTGGCGGTCCCCAGCCTCAAAACCTTCATACACCAGGGAAGGCAGGAAGAGTTCACCAGCAGGGCATAGCATGCTCACTGCTCCCGACTCCTATCCTTACAGTACCTACTGTACTGCTGCCTTCACAACCTCTTTGATATCAGATCATGGCAGCCACCCAGAACATTTCCTTCCCTTTCCAGATACAGTATTCCATGGAGCTCCAGAACATGTACCATCCTCAAGGATTCCAACCCTGGGTTCAGAATACCCCCTTATCCCACTTCTGCCACCACTCTCACAGCCGTCAGCGTGTACACCGGTGGTTCTTCTACACTGTAATGTGAACTCTCCTCCGTGTCCTCAAGTCCAAAGCTCTCAGTCACTCTTCCATCTACTCAGACAATGACACTTAGAGCTGGGGTCAGAAACACATGCCTATAGGAGATTAGTAGGTGGCCAAAGTAAGTGAAGTGGCCAGAAAATTTCCAGAAAAGGAAAATCTATAGAGACAGAAAGCTGACCAGTAGTTGCCTGGATCTGGGGGTGGGAGCAGGAACTGACAACCAGGGGACACAAAAGACCTTTCTGGTATGACAGAAGTGTTCTAAAACTGGATTGTGGTGATGACTGTACGATTCTATATATTTTCTATCACTGATTTGCATGCTTACAATGGATGAACTTTAAGGTATGTGAAATTATACATCAAAAAAGCTGTTCAAAGAGAACTACAATGGATTGATACACAGTGACTACACAGAAACCCATGAAATTACTAGAAGAAACAAGAGCACCAATTTCTTATTTTGAAAATTCATAATTAAAAGAAATGAAAAGAAAAGGAACACACGTTTTTCCTGCCTTTCCTATGCAAATTACCAAACAGCCTACCGGATAGAGAAGACACTTATTATACACAGAAGAATTCCAACTGATGTGAACAGAATGATAGAATTAGAAAACCACCATTTTACAATCCTAAAGAAATAACCAATTCAAGCATCACTCATGAAACCATACGGCAAAAGTTGCTAGGGAACTTTACAATGTCAAGATCAGGGTGTTAACACCTGAACCCACTGATAAATTCTGACAACCAAGCACTGTGTGCCTCCTGATATGATGATACAAAATGAAACACATACAACCATTTATAACACATCCTTGCCAAATCTTTGAACCTTTGAAGCTTTTAGGGCTTACTTCCATTTATAGGAAATCTAGGGGAACAAGTTAAATAACATAAAAGGAAGCAAACCAACAAATCCAGAATGTGGGACATTCCATAAAACCCAACTAACTGTACTGCAATAAGTCTATGGCATGAAAAAAAAAAAGTCAGTATAGGCAGATTTAGATTAAAGAAGACTTACTAAGTATAATAATTAAACTAAGTACAATAATTAAACCTTACTGGATCCTGATTTAAACAAACCCATTGTAAAAGACATTTTTGAGACAACTGCAAAAAAACTAAACATGCACTGGGTATGAGATAAAACTAAGGAATTGTTAATTCTGAAAGGTATGATAACAGTATTGTTGTTATATAAGAAAATGTCTTTGTTTTCTCTACTCTTATGTATGTTTGACATAATTTTATATAATAAAATTAAGATAAAATAAAAACACTCTACAAGCCAAGCAAAACATACCTGGAAGTCCACATCTAACCCACAGGTTAACAGCTTGTCACCTTCTGCTTAGAACTTGTCATCAAGTAAAAGCTCAACTCTGAAATTCATATCCCTGATTGCTTACACCCCTCCAACTACCTCGCTCCCACTGAATTGCTTTGCTGTCCTCATCATAAATAACTTCCAGTTCCTTCTCTCCACTCCTCCTATTTTGGCTTCCCTATACTTCCCATGGCTATCCATTTGAACAATTACTTGATTCCATTCTAGAATCCCTCTCCACTCCTGAGTTCACTTCTGCCTTGGCCATCTCTGCTTTGAATAACCTCCATGGCCCATATCTGATGTAACTTATTAAGCACCCAACACAGTGCCAAATAAATTTTCTGATCTCCTCAGAAAAGCTCTGGATTAGAAAGCAATTCAATCAATGGCTCAGCTGAGAATAAAGCAATTAGGCTTTCCCCCCTTGATTATACAACCCTTTTAATCCAATTATCAAGAGCCTTGATTACTGATTCTGTCATAAGGAGTAAACTTTATGTTGAACAGTTTGTTTCTTTCTAGATTCCTTTATGCTATTTCCCCACCACCACCACCCTTTTACCCTTTTGGTTCTCTACCTTCCCTGAAATCTATGAAAGGCACGGGTTCTAGTACCTGAGTGAACCACCAAGTGTTTTCGCAGGCTAGAATACTCAGCAAAGGAACGGCCACATCCTTGGGCTTCACAAAGGAAAGGCTTCTCTCCTAGAGACAGAAAATGACATAAAGAGTCAGTCTTCTGATGAACTATCTATTACTCTCTTTTTCCATTAACCTATCCAGTTTCCAATGACTGGCTCAGATTTCTTGAATTCGGGCTATGTAGTTTCAGTGGGGCTATCTATCCACTAAGTGTCACCTTTCAATGATCTCCTAGCCAACAGCCCACCAGACAGCCCTACCCTCTTCTTTAGAGTGGCTACCTCTGAGCATCATACTTCCTTCACCTTCCTGGCTCAAGGGCTGACCACCAGCTACACTGACCCACCTTCTTCAGTGATCCCATCCCTTTTGAGGGTATCAAGATTAACATCGCATATGCTGTCAGGATTTTTTACTTTATATCAATTCTTTTTATGATTCAGTTTCTAAATCCACTAAAAAGTACAGATTTTAAGGTTTTACATAGTCCCACTGTCTAAAGCAAACAAATGAAAACAGATATTCAGTCAGAGGTACAAAGAAAAATCTGTAACAATATGCTAAAAGTAGTTACAACCTGATTAGTGCTATTATGGATGATTTCCTTTCTTCTTTGTGCATCTCTAAGTTTTATTGTCTACAATATTACATTTTTTTTTATTTTAATTTTTTTTTTAAGATTTTAATTATTTATTTGACAGAGAAAGACACAGTAAGAGAGGGAACACAAGCAGGGGGAGTGGGAGAGTGAGAAGCAGGCTTCCCGCTGACCAGGGAGCCTGATGCGGGGCTCAATCCCAGGACCCTGGGATCATGACCTGAGCCGAAGGCAGATGCTCAACGACTGAGCCACCCAGGCACCCCCTTTTTTTTTTTAAGATTTTATTTATTTGACAGAGAGAGAGCACAAGCAGGGAGAGTGGCAGGCAGAGGGAGAGGGAGAAGCAGGTTCCTCACAGAGCAAGGGAAGCCCGATGCTGGACTCAATCCCAGGACCCCGGGATCACGACCCGAGCCAAAGGCAGTCGCTTAACCAACTGAGCCACCCAGGCACCCTACAATATTACATTGTTATTTTAAATCAAAGATGCATGGTAAAAACTAAATAAGGCCTGTAGACTACCTGATAGAACTACTAACCTTTTGGTTTTGATATTGTACTGTCGCTACAGAGGATGTCACTTTTTGGGGAAGCTGGGTAAAGCACACAACATAACTCTTTGTGCTATTTTCACAACTTCTCATGAGACTGTAATTATTTCAAAATAAAAAGTGAAAAAAAAATCAGATGGCAATTCCTATCTGAGGGTCACAGACTAGTGTGAGAGATAAATGTATTCATAAATAACTTTAATATAAATTCCTGCACAGAAAAGTGCTATAAGCATTTAGAAAAGGGAGGAATTCCGGGGTCCCTGGGTGGCTCACTGGGTTGGGCATCCGACTCTTGATTTTGGCTCAAATCATTATTTCAGAGTGGTGGGATCAAGGGCCCCCCACCCCCACCCCATGCTGCTCAGCAGGGAGTCTGCTTCTCTCCCTCTGCCCCTCCCCAACGCTCAAGTGTGCTCTCTCTCTAAAATAAATAAATCTTAAAAAAAAATTGAATTAACATAATACAATCTCAAAAGGTTATTGTGAGAATTGAGACACAAGTTAAATATATTCAGCATAGTGTCTGGCACATAGTCAGCCCTCATGGTAAGCCACCGAAATCGGTAGCTTTAATTACCATTGTCACTACTAATAAAGATCTGCGGTCACTTTTGACATTTAAGATAAACTGAGCTGTCAGCATTTGAAAACGAAATCCTTGTAAGAGCTTTTGGGTCTGACCAGAATTCAAATCCCAACTCCGCCATTTCCTAGCTGTATAATACTGGGCAAGTTGTTTAACTCTCTAATCCCCTATTTCTTCGCCAATAAATACAGTATCTAATTCATAAAGTATCCTTGAGGATTAAAAGAGACAATGTACATGTACTTGACACATACTAAATTGCCTCAATAAATGCTAACTTTTATTATTATATGAATTCTGGCGACTGGGATCTGTGAGGCATCCAGGGAGAAATGATTACACTGCACCCTGACACTGTGGCGAGAGATACACTGAGTGAAATGGGAGAAATGACAAGTTCTGGAAATGGTGCGCAATTAGGAGATTCACAAGGGAGAGCTAGCAGGAGCTAGAATGAGGAGAGAAAATAAGGTCATACTCCACAGGAAAAGAAAGCATTTTAAGATGTTCAGTTTTATCCAATCTACATAGGGGATGAGCAGCACGAGGATGAAGAGGTTAATGAATCCAACCATAAGGCACGGTGAGCTCTACTTCTTCCCTTCTCTAGTCTGCTAGATGTTTTTCTTGTTTTTTTATTCAAAGTGCTTCTTGGAGAAAGTATAGTTTAGTCTCTCAGGAAAAAGCTGAGAACAGAGCTATTCTGCCCTAAAACATATCCAGTGGTAATGTCAATCTAGCAGGAATCATAGGGACATACCTAGAACAAATATGGCTTCAGCTTGGGTTTCACTTTTGAATGCCCTTTAATTGTACCTGCTGTCATTTTAGCAATGCAAGAAGAAAGAAGAGACAAAGAAAGTGGCAAGAAAGTGGGGAAGAACAGTTACACATCCTAAGACTGGTCTCGGTTCAGTGATTAAGCTCTGACAAGAAACTTAGCACATTTTAGGCCAAGTGGCTTGGAAAGTTACCCTTACACTCTTATAATGAGAGTCAGGTTATCTTTATTTTGTTCCTTTGATATTAATATGCTATCTGACCCAGATCAAGTCACTTTCCCATTCTGCTTCTCAGGTCGTGAGGCTCCACCCAAAAAGCAAATTCCTCAAAGTCAGGGAATCATCTTAGCTTTTATATTTCCCCCCTCCCCTTACCCCATTTAGAGGCTAGCAGAGGCTCTGTATGGTTTGTGCGATTCAATGAATATTACTGATCAAAATTACAACCGTGTAACATTCGAAGATATTTGGAAATACTGATTTTGTCCATATCTCAGCATATCATTGTTATCAGAGAAGGTCTTATATCCCTTCCTGCACTTTTGGCTCCTACAGGCAGAAATCAACACTGTCCATTCCTCACACACAGGTGAAAGGTCAATAAATGTTAGTGAATTAACTGAAAAGTGACATGAAGCATGTGAAAAAAAGAAATCCCATTTTCAGAGTTTTAGCAACAAACCTAAATCCTCATTTCTATTCCCACATCAGAGTCTTTCCTGAGGACAGGCGAGCAAACCCTGAGCCCAGAGGTAGACTGCCTACAGGAAAGTTGGGGTTGCACACACCTGTATGGATGCGCAAGTGGTTCTTCAGATTTCCAGCTGTAGTGAATTGCTTACCACAGCTAGACTCGGGGCACATAAAGGGCTTCTCCCCATTATGGGTCCTCATGTGCACCTTCAGCCTCTGCAGCACATAGAAGCTTTTCCCACAACCTTCTGCAGGACAGATGAAAGAGCGGTCGTTTCTGGAGAGAAAAAAAAAAAATCACATAAGCAACAATACCTGAAAATGCTCTTTGCTAGAAAGGACAAATCAAAGCTCCTATTGCCTCTCAAAGCAGACAGTAATCCCCAAACCTGGATATACCAGAATCATCTGAAGTTTATTAAAACCAGAGATGCCCCAGGCCTTACTCCCCACCCCCTTTTTTAAAAATAATCTCTATGCCCAGCGTGAGGCTTGAACCCACGACCCCAAGATTAAGAGTTGGATGCTCTACCAACTGCACCGGCCAGGTGCCCCACACCTTACTTCTTGAAAAATGATTTCACAGGATTATGAGTGACACCCACGCTTATGTATTTTTTTTAAGTCTTCCAAGAAATTGTATTTTAAAATGAGATTCCAGAACTCTTGTTCTAAGACGCTTAGGTGCTAAATGTCTTACTAAGTATTTGTGAAGAATGAGGTAAATGAGAAAATGCAAACCCTTCTATTAAAAAACAAAAGACATCTTAATCACAAGTGAACTGGAGTGCCTGCTTTCCTTTAATGTGTCAACTGGGCGACAAGCTCCTCCAGAAGCATCAACGTTCTTGAGCTCCAAGTATGGAACCTCAAATATGCTCACCTATGCGTTTTGAGATGGTACTTGAAATGAGCTGGCCACACAAATGTCCGGTCACAGCCTTCAACTGTACATTTGAGCTTCTTTTCCACTTGAGGAAGGGGCCCAGAATCTTTGGGCTGCCCATCACCAGAACTGAGGTGGACATTTTCTCCTGTAACACAGTTACATATTTGTAATCCAGGGAAGGAAGCTGCTGAGGTACTTTGTTTCAAACAGTAAAGCTCCTATATTTTACTCCTACTGATCAATAAACAGGTATCTATCTTCAGCTTCCCTAGTTCTCTTGATACCCATCTAACAACTGGCACACAATTTGTTCCCATCCCCTTACTCCAGAGAATTATCAAAGCCATCATGCTTCGTTTCACAAGACCAGGCCTCTTTGGCAAATGTAAGAAATGTCCACAATGGTTTCACATAAAAAAAGGAGAGTTAAACCTATCCTGTACTACACAAATTGGCAAGGAAGCATATGCGTCAACACCCAGAGTGGGATGCTAAAGATGGCTTCTTGTTCCAGGTATTACTGAACTTATATTTATTTTAGGAGGGGCAGCCATTCTGGCTTAGTTCTGGGCTTATGGTTGTGATTTCTTTTGTAAATGATCATTCTTAGATTTCTATCTTCTGAGGTCAATTTGGCTGTTTCTATCATTTTAGAGAATAAGAATAACCTTCCAATTTCCTGTGCCACTTCTCTTTAAGAATACAAAAACTCAGGTGATTTTACAGTATCTAACCACATTTTTAAAAGCTAGAAATAGGGGCGCCTGGGTGGCTCAGTTGGTTAAGGGACTGCCTTCGGCTCAGGTCATGATCCTGGAGTCCCGGGATCGAGTCCCGCATCAGGCTCCCTGCTCAGCAGGGAGTCTGCTTCTCCCTCTGACCTTCCCCCCTCGCATGTGCTCTCTCTCTCTCATTCTCTCTCAAATAAATAATCTTAAAAAATAATAAATAAATAAAAGCTAGAAATAACATGAAGTTTTTTGTTCAACAGAACAAAAGGAAGGAAGAAAAGGAGCTAATGTAGTGCAGTGCCTCCCTTAAACTTAAGTGCAATCAGTTAAAGCTTTATATAAATCCCAGATTCACAGGTCGTACTCCTTTTCTTTCATTTTCTTCAAGATATAGTTGGATATCAACAGAGAAAAATATTTACGACTACTTAATTATGCTACAAGCATATGGAGTTTATCTTTCTACTACATATACCTCAGGAATAAGATTTATATTTCCAAATTTCCCTCTCAAAAGCCAAGAATAGGGACAATAAATGTTGTACCCATCACATTTCCTGCAACCTGACAGTTGATCAAGGTTTCCATCCCGTCTACTAATGTTAATCTCTTCCTGTCCTACATTTTCCTGGCTGTACAAGTCATCAAATGCTAATCATAAAACTAATTGCTCCAAGGTCAGAGTAGAATCTAAGATGCCTTTTGCTATTAATTTTTTTCTTTAATATTGTACCACAGTTTTTTTTTTAATTGAAAAATAGCCACACATAGGTACATTTTAAACAGTACAAAACTGTATATACTATAAAGGAAATTTCCCAACTCCCTTCTTTCATTAGAAAGATCAGTAGAAATCCCACCCTAATACAGAAATTTAAACCGCTGACATTTGGGACTTTGTGCATTCAATGTTGTAGATACAATGAGAACACTGACAGAATCATGAAATTTAAAAACTGCTCAGAAAACAGTGAATTGCCTTGTTATTTGAGTCCTTATGAAACTACTCCCTTAAAAACACAAAGCACTGTTTGCAGAAGACGGATTAGCTTAAAATGACATCAACCAATGATAGTTTTGGATATTTAGAGATCATCTGATGGACTGGTTCCCCCCACGAAAAAAGAGAAAGACAAAGAAATTCAACACCTTACATGGCGCACATTGGATAACACTGTAAACACTTTAAAGATCCCACAGTTATATGAGGTCTTTGCATTTGGGATAAAATTTCCAGTGAAAGTATCATATATAGTATGGGTCAGTAAACTTATTCTGTAAAGGGCCAGATACTAAGTATTTTTGGCTTGGAGGACCATATGGTCTCTGTCACAACTCAACTTTGCCACTGTAGCACCCAGACAATTTTTAATGAATGGGCATGCCTGGGTTCCAACAAAACTTTATTTATACAACAGGTGGTTATCTGGCCCTTTGCTAACCCCTTATAATATAAAGCATCATATACAAAATTTAAATATATCTGTATTTCAATCAACTTAGATAGAAGTGAACATGTGCTCTGAGAAACTGCTACAGGACTCACAAAATGGCTTTAGTAACAACGAAGATATTTATGTTAAAGACGCATTTAAATACCAAATAAAATCATTATGTTAGTGGGTGAAAAGCAATATTAATATATTTCATGATTTAAAATGTGTATATAATCAAAATAATAACATTTTCAAAAAACCACTCACAGTGTTTAATTTTATCTCTATGCCTAACGGTTTCTATATCTAAGTTAGCCCCCTCAAAGGGTTTTATGGAATCATCTCATTGATAAAATAGAAGACTGTCAAATATTTGGGCTCACTTTATATTCAAGTATACGAGGTAGTTGTTAGGTAATAAGGTACATATTCTGAGAGTAATAAAAACATCCACACAATGCTTTGCTGATTATAAAGCATTTCCCAGACAGAATCTTATTTAAATCTCCAAAACAACCCAATCAGGTAAGCTACTTGATCTCTGTGTTCTGAACAGGAGAAAACGGCAGCTAAGAAGGTTAAGTCCCCCAGGCAGAGGACAAGTTAATGACAGCACCAGGTCTGGATCCCAGGTCTCCAGAGGCCAAGCCCAAGGTTCCCTCACTGCACCAGCTTCTTCCTAGCCCATTCAGCACTGCTTCCTTAATGCAATGAGGAGATGCTGCTGGTTTCAGGACCCAGAGATTAGCAAAAGCGTCTCAGGAAGAATCTGAACTTTAGAGCCAAAATGGTAAAACTGGCCATTCTAAGCAGCATTACAGTAGTCAAAGCAGAACTAATTATGTTGAAACTAACAGAAGTCTGGAGTTCTCATGCGGAGAAAGGGGAACCCTCCTACACTGTTGGTGGGAATGCAAGCTGGTGCAGCTACTCTGGAAAACAGTATGGAGGTTCCTCAAAAAGTTGAAAATAGAGCTACCGTACGACCAGCAATTGCACTACTGGGTATTTACCGCAAAGATACAAATGTAGTGATCCAAAGGGGTATGTGCACACCAATGTATATAGCAGCAACGTCCACAATAGCTAAACTATGGAAAGAGCCAAGATGTCCATCAACAGATGAATGGATAAAGAAGATGTGGTGTATATATACAATGGAATATTATGCAGCCATCAAAAGGAATGAAATCTTGCCATTTGCAACGACGTGGATGGAACTAGAGGGTATTATGCTAAGCAAAGTAAGTCAATCAGAGAAAGACAAGTATCATATGATCTCACTGATTGGAGGAGTTTGAGAAACAAGACAGAGGATCACAGCGGAAGGGAGGAAAAAAATGAAACAAGATGAAACCAGAGAAGGAGACAAACCATAAGAGACTCTTAATCTCAGGAAACAAACTGAGGGTTACTGGAGTGGTGGGGGGGGGGGGAGAAATGGGGGGGCTGGGTGATGGACATCGGGGAGAGTGTGTGCTATAGTGAGCGCTGTGAATTGTGTAAGACTGATGAATCACAGACCTGTACCTCTGAAACAAATAATACATTATATGTTAAAAAAAAAAAAAGAAGATAGTAGGAAGGGAAAAATGAAGGGGGGGAATCGGAGGGGGAGACGAACCATGAGAGACTATGGACTCTGAGAAACAAACTGAGGGTTTTGGCGGGGGGGATGGGTTAGCCTGGTGATGGGTATTAAAGAGGGCACGTTTTGCATGGAGCACTGGGTATTATACGCAAACAATGAATCATGGAATACTACATCAAAAACTAATGATGTACTGTATGGTGATTAACATAATAAAATAAAATTAATAAAAAAAAGTAGAAAAGTAAAAAAAAAAAGTCTGGAGTTCTCTTTGCAGTGACATGGATGGAGCTAGAAACTATTATGCTACGTGAAATAAGTCCATCAGAGAAGGACAAATACCAGATGATCTCACTCACAGGTGGAATTTTTTTTTTTAAAGATTTTATTTATTTATTTGACAGAGAGAGACACAGCGAGAGAGGGAACACAGGCAGGGGGAGTGGGAGAAGCAGGCTTCCCATGGAGCCGGGAACCCAATGCGGAGTTAGGACCCTGGGATCATGACCTGAGCCGAAGGCAGACGCTTCACGACTGAGCCACCTCAGTGCCCCTCACAGGTGGAATTTAAGAAACAAAAGAGCAAAGGGGAAAAAAGAAGAGAGGCAAACCAAGAAACAGACTCTTACCAACAGAAAACAACCGATGGTCACCAGAGGGGAGGTGGGTGAGGGATGGATGAAATAGGTGATGGGGATTAAGGACTGCATTTGTGATGACAACCTGGTGTTGAATCACTATATTGTACACCTGAAACTAATATTATGCTGTATCTTAACTAACTGGAATTTAAATTAAAACTTAAAAAAAAAAGAAGTTTGGAGTTCTCTATGTAGAAAAGATTTAGGTTAATGTTTCTAAAACCGGAATATTCTGAAATATTCACATGGATCCTTGCGAAGTTTTTTTTTATTTTCACTTGCATGGTAATCACAAAATAATAAGCATATTCTAGATCATCCAGATGAGCTCCAAACAGCCATGTACCAACATAAGATTTCAGTGCTTAAGCTTGGTTTGTGATAATGATAGCGTGTACCTTAACCTTAATAATTTGTTGTAGTACCCTAATTGTCACAGATTAAAAAGAAAATATAGAAGCTGCTCTAAAACAAAAAGTATTACGGCATGTTAAATAAGCAAAGGTTGTGCACTGGTTTAGGGGTGGCTTACAGTCACGGTCCTCAAGCTTTAACATGTATTGGAACCACTGAGAGGGCTTACTAAAAGATCGCATGTTTCTGGTTCAGTAGGATGAGGCCTGAGAATGTGTATTTCTATGTTCCTAGGTGATGCTGATGATTTAAGGACTATATCTGAAAACTACTGGATAGAGAAAAGTGGCACAGAGTTAGTACAGGCATGCTGAACTCAAAAGAAACAGCCCTATAGACTGTTTGGATATTTAAGGTCATATGATGAACTGGTTCCAAAAGAAAAGGCAGCAGTGGCAGTTTCAGCAAAACACCATTGTCTGCCAAAATAAAATATTAACTTTATTCTCACTGGTTTTGCAGTTTTATTCCTATTAATTGGTAATACTGTTTTGATTTTATAATGGTATAAAAGCTCTAAGTATAGGGAACTACAATAAAAACAATTCAAGATAACATCTTGTTTTCCCTTTAAAGGGGCTGTGTACATTATTTAAAGCTGACAATTGAGAATGCTAGTGTTGATTTTGCACATGAATCTGGCATAGCTAAGTTATTTCATAGAAAATAAGACAAACAGTGTACACATTTCTAGCTGCCTGCTCTCACCAATAACTCAGATTCCAGTCAACTCAAAATATGGTCATTGTATTGCCAAAATCCCCACAGAGAATACAGGAAGTGAAACGTCACAGGGGTCTCACCATTGCTGCTGGTTTTTGCATTCTTTGCCAGCTGTGCACGAGTAGCAGCAATCAGACTATCATGAGCCAGCTCCTGAACCCGGAGGAACCATGGGATGCTACTGTCCGTGCTCTCACTGGAGAGGAAATCATTCCCTGAATCTTCTGCCTCATCTTGTACAAATACTAAGTGCTCGGCTGAAGAGCCCAGACCTGGAAGAAACAAGAGGATATGTGAAAGCTACCCATCAAGTTGCCCTTCTATCAGCCCTGGCTCGGATACTTCATGGCCTGTATCAGCTATTCCAGATTTTCACCTCTCACCTCAAGCTTCTGTTCTCCTACTACACTAGGTTATCTATCACCTTTCCACTCCCGGACAACAGGCTTCTCTTTCTTACCTCCTCTGGTTTCAGAGGCAAAGCTGTCCCCCCAGGGCAAGCAAGCTAGTATCCTGACCCTATCCTTCAGTCATCTGTCCACCATCTGCAAGCCATTCCTCTCTACTGGCCACCTTACAACCTCCCCTTAGAGCCTTTAAATCTGTCTCGCCCATCTTTATTTTTAAAAAGAAGAGAAAATCCCAAGTACTTCTCTAGCTATTTACTGTCTCACAGTCAAGTTTCCTGCAAGCGTAACTTCTAACTTAGGTATCCACTTTCTCACCTGTCATCCAGTCCCCACCATGGTTAGAACCCTGGCCTCCACCTCTACTACCTCAGTAACAACTGCTCTTGCTCGCGTCACCAGACATACACTCCCCAGTCCTCACCTCACTAGCCCTTCCTGTGGTATTTGGCATGATTTACTACCTTTTCTTCTTTAAGACATTTTCCCTCTCTTGGCTTCTAGCATAGCACTCTCCTTCTGTTTTCTTTATCCCTCTCTGGCAGCTCCTCCCCACTCTTCTGTTATTCCCCTCTTAAATGTGTTTTTTCCAGGGGCCCAGATTTGCCTTCTTTTCTGTTTATGCTCCTGAATCAAAGAATTCACGTTCACTGTTTCATACATTTCCTGAATGCTGATAAGCACCAAAACAACTTATTTCACACAAGACATTTCTAGAACTCTGGATTCCTGTTTCTAACTCTCTAAAGGACACCTCCTCATGAATGTCCCTCTGAAATCCCAACATCAACAAGCACATACTGGAACTAATCATCCTCCCCCGCAACCCTGTTCTTGGGCTATCTTGCTGAATGGCACAACCTAATTTCCCAAACAAGAAACTTCTTCCTAAAGTCTGCCTTCTCCCCCTACACATTCAACTGATCACCAGACTACCAATTCTCTAAAATAAATAATAAGGCTTCTTTCCAATTTAAGTATGATTGGGTTAAATATGCCCCCTCCCCAGTTTTTTTCTTAACCATGAGCAGAGTTCGGAAAAAGATAAAGAATACCTGCTCTCGTTAGGTTAAGAAGAATAAAAGAAGTGCTATCACTTGGCTGTAGATCTTGCAACAAGCTGGGAGACTCTGGAGTGGACAAAAACTCCGGGGACTTCTGTGCAGTCTGAGCCCTCGTCTCCTCTCCGTCTGGGCCCACATTCACCTGAAGGCTTCTCAACACAGCCGAGGAAGGGACCTCCTTGGAGGAGTTTGTATGACTTGGAGTATCATCTAGCAAAGGGAAAAGACCATGGCTTTATGTGGCACCTCTCTCCACGGAGCTCACCATTCTGATACATGGCACCGAACACCCTCATCACATCCCTTCTAGGAGCAGCAGCCTTTTTATTTTACAAATACAAAATTTCCCTCAGAAGAGAACAGAGATATAACTTTAAGTTTTAAAGGGAGTCAGCCAAAATGTGAGGGACAAACTCGTTTGACATTTGGATGTACCAACCAACCAACCATCCACATTTGGACATCACAGGCCTTTGTCCTTTTGAGGTCAGAAATCAGTACTTTTCCCTCAAAAAATATAGTTATACAATGAATACTAACTCAAGAATAGGATCTAAATTTTAAATTATTATTTTTCTTATTATCCCTCCCTTTAATTTTTATAGCATGTATGTGACAGTTCTATTGAGTCATTAGGGGGAAAAAAACCACAGCCTGAGAAATCACTGAAATTTTATAGAATCATAAATATGTTTCATTATACTTCCAGGTTTACACTGAAATGTAAAGAAATAATTCAGAAGACTTGCTCTCTAGGACTTTACTCTAAGGAAAGGAATGACTTTCCAAAGGTTTTGGTTGCAATAAAACGAGGAATTGCACTACAGTGCTAAAGCACTCAATGTTTTCAGGGGTTTCAGTTATCTTTATAAAAGGCAGATAATTTCTTTTCCTTTTTTTAAGGAAGTTAATAGATATTATAGGAATGAAAGTGGAAGCCTAGGGATAGACAGTACTGCCACTTCAAAGTCTAATGAAATAGTACAATATGAATGTACCTAATGTCACAGAACTGGTTAAATCGTAAGTTTATGTGATTAAAATGGTTAACTGGTTTAAATGGCAAATCTTTAGTTATGTATATTTTATCATACACAAAAAGTTTTTAATGAATTTCATAGCAGTACTGTTTGTCATAGTAAAACACTGGAAAATAACTAAATATTCATCAACAGTGTCATGGATAAAGAAGCTGTGGTTACACTCATGTAACAGAACGCTATACGGCAATGAAACCAACCACACCTATACACACAAGGATGAATCTCACAACTACAGAGTAACATAAGAAAGGTACAACAATATACATTCATATGATTCCAAGGTCTAAAAACACCTAAGATTAAACTGCATTGCTTCAATCTCAGTGGTTAAACTTGGGAAACAAATATCGGTCAAATAATTGAGGATAGCGGTGACCTATGAAGAACATAGGTTGTCTTTATCTGGGAGGAACCCATGGGGGTTTGGGAGCTGGCAAGGTTCTACTTCTTGATTGGGTGGTGGGTATCTCCTTTATAATAATTCTTCGAAATGTATAAGGACAGGGTTTTATACTTTTCTGTATCTATCACAAATCCCAACTAAAAAGAAAACATACCGGCCATGCATGGAATGATACACACATATTTAAGAGGGAGGGGAATAAAGTTAGGGATGTATGTGCAGATACATTTGTGTTTGTAATATTATGTTTCATGAGCTGGGAGGTGAGTACATGGGTTTTCACTTATTATTATTGATATTGGTTATCTAAAATATTTTTACTCAGGGTACCTGGCAGGCTCGATCAAAAGAGCATGAAACTCTTGATCTTGGGGTTGTGAGTTTGAGCCCCACAGTGGGTGATAAACAAAAACTTTTTAAAAATAAAATAAAATATTTTTAATCAAAATTAAAACTAAAGTTAATGTACAAAAGAAGATTAATGATTTTGTTCTTCTTTTCATTTCAATATTCTTAAAATATTTATTCAACAAATTAAAATCAGGAGAGAAAAATTTAAGCCCAATGAAGATCAAAATTCATTAGCACATGGAAATGTACACATATTGAAAATCCGTAAGGATTTGGAAAAACTCCAACGTACCAGTAGAAAAATCGGAGTTGAACGACAGGAGATGTGTGAAAGCTAGGAACTAGACAGGGAAACCTTAAGTCAACACTGGTTGGTTGAATGTATCTGTCCTTCTTGAATCTTTAAACATTGAAAAAAATTTTAAAGTCACTTCAAAAAAAAAAATCAAAGAAAAAGGACATCACTAGAGAACAGTAACTAGAAGACTTTATAAGCTGTCACCAATCACCAATAGGTGGTGACCCTCCCCTCCCGATTTAACATCAGAATTCCAAATTTTAAATATTCCAATTTCCAGAAAATAAAGAACTTATTGCACCCAAAAATAATGTTCTCCCTGCTAACAGTCGAGGGATAGGATCTCCTTCTCCCCATCCAAAGTTAATCTCACAACTCATGATCAGCATTCTAGTTCCTCCTACCTCTCCTAGAGCCTCCCCCCTAATTAGCCACTCTTTCTGTTTGCACCTCTCCAACTGGCTCTTTCCTCTTAGCATAAAACCATCCTCAAATATTTCAGATCTTAAAAAAGAATTCTGCCATCTACTCTATGTCCTTCTCTTTTTCCTTCCCATAGCAGGAGAGTCTTGAGAAAGTGTGGTTACTTCCTCAACTATACTTACCTTGCACTGATACCTCAATCCTCTACAACCTGGCTTCTCCATTACCTTTCCATGGAGCAGGTCCTGCCAACGTCAACAATGTTGGCCCTATCTCATTGGGACAGTCCCTATCTCATGGGCCTCTTAGAGGCATCTGACATAGTGACTGTTCTCTTGAGTTCCATGCCTGCACTCTGTACCAGTATTTCTCTTACTGCTCTAGCCTTTCCTTTTTCCCTCCTTCATAGGCTCTCCTGCTTTACCCTGTACCTTGAATAGGGAGTTCCACATTGGTCTTTTCTTCTCACTCTCACATTTTATGAATGATCCTATCCATTACTATGGCTTAAATTACCAACGCACTTGTTAACTCCTATGGTTGCTTATTCTTCATGATTCCTAGTTTTTACAGTTTCTACAAGTCAGTTATAAAGTCATTTATCCCATCCCACCAGTGTGATAGAAGAGGCTAAGCTCTTAAAACTTGCTTATCTTATTTCTTGTAATCTTAATTTTTACCTGGTAACATTAGCCGACTGCATTCTGAGGCCTCAGTCACCGGAAGGAGGGATAAGCAAGTAATGTCTTTAGCTTCTGATTCTACTAGCCCCTGTCCCAATGGGATGGACGTATTCTGAACAAACTGTACCAGGAGCTGGCGGGGTTGGGGGGGAGTGGAGGAAGAGACAATATTGAAAAATACAAGTTGTTAGGAATGAATCTAAACCTCTGAACTTACCAAAAGTTCATAGCGTAATTAAGTCTTTATTGCTTACTAGTCTCAACCACATTCACAGAAAAACTAAATTAACTACAAAATAACATTTAAAGTTATTTTTATCAAGTGCTCTGTTCTAAAGAAAAGCTGTATTATATTGGCTCATTTAATCCTCACCTTAACCCAGTAAGATTGAACATGTATTTTAAAAATAAGGAATATAAAAAATAAATAAAGATAAGGAATCAAGTTGAAGACATCAAATGACTTATCTAAGGTCACATGACTAGTAGGGGAAGTAAGTCTTCAAACTTAACCTGATTCCAAATTCATTGACCTTCCCACTATGTGACACAGATGTACTAAAATTAAAGGAAGAGAAATGAATAAAAATAAAAAAATGTTTAGGGGCGCCTGGGTGGCTCAGCCAGTTAAGCCTCCGACTCTTGATCTCAGCTCAGGTCTTGATCTCAGGGTCGTGAGTTCAAGCCCCATGTTGGGCTCCACACTAGGCATGGAACCTACTTAAAAAAATAAATGAAAATAAAATAAATAATAAATAAATAATATTTAAATCCTCTAATTGCATTTAGAAAGAAAACACTTTCAGATACATACAAAATTAACTGAAAAATGGTTGTGGTAGTAAATATTTATATATGTATATACATATCCACATATGTCACATATATATAAAACTTTTGTCATTATGTAATTACCTAGATGTATAAGAACTTATACTTACTTAAACATAAAAAGCTATAGGTAAAAAAGAGTTTTTAAATCTTTGAAAAAGTACTTAGTGATAGAAAAAGTAATAAACTAGTAGTTACGACCAAAACCATATGGCCCACAAAACCTAAAATATTTACTATCTGGCTCATTACAGAAGTTTACTGACTTCCTGAACTAAAGACAAACCTCGGAAGATAGCCCACAATCAATCAATCAATCAATCAATAGCACTGCCTGGGCTCACCTCTGGTTTGGATTCTAACTCATCTGATAACATTGATTCAGCTTCCAAATCCTGTAGCTGTTCAGGGACAGGTTAAAAATTTAATTCAGAGTCAACGACACCTTCCTGTTATGCTCATATTCCTCTAGGAAATGCTATGCTTTTCCTGTAAGATGCTGTGCTGGGTGGGTAATCAATTTAGCCTAAAAAAGGATGAGAGAGAGAGAGAATTAGAGTAGTAGAAAAATGTAGCTAAATAAACAAAGGCACTTCTCCACATATCTGAAAATCACAACAAGCAAACAAATAAAGAATCCAGCCCAAAACACTTGTTTTAAAATAAAACAAGCCCAATAGATGTCAAAATCCATTAAAAGTTGTACTTTGTAGAATTTCTACTTCTAATTATCTATTTTTTAAAAGGTCTTAAAAACAGAAAAAGTATATGCCCAAAGAACTTAATGTTAGCATCTATAATAATAAACAATTGCAAGCAAGATATAAATACACATATATGCCCAACACTTAGGGAATGGTTAATTAGATTATGGCACTGTCACTTAAAAATATGGTTATAAAAATAATGCAACAACAAGAAGTGCCAATGACATGTTAAATTACAAAAACAAAATACAAAATTATATACTTGCTATTATTAAAACTAAGATATGAACAGAAAAAAGTAAAAGGAAATTAATACAACTATGATAGTAACTATATTAGGTGGCAGGCTGGTATGACTTATTTTTCTTTTCTCAATTTCCTCATCTTTCTAAAAGTAGTTATACAGTCAAAATATGACCAGTGTTTCCCAAAAGTAGTACCCTTAGGACCCTGATGTAACTATTCTCCCCCCATAATTAAAATTCTTACTTTCTTATCGCTTAATTTTTTCAGACTTTTGACAAAAGAGTCCACTGTATTTTGTATAATTGGTGCTAAAATTGGGAGCCCTGCCATATACAAAGTAATTACACAGTGTAAAATGTACCCGGATGGGAGTTTTCAATACCAAAGTAACTGGAAAGTTAGAACAAGGCAGGCTTACTCTACAAAAAAGGCATTTAGAAGTTCCTGAATAAATGTTTATTGTCCTGTTGGTTCCTTCCTCTCCCCCTTGCTAGCTTCCAGAAATCCTCACTTTTATCATAAAAAAATAACAATTCATAAGATGTAAATGAAAGTGTCCTTTTATTTAAGTTTCCCACATAAAATCAAGTATCATAAATCTCTTGACTTTTCCCATACGTTTTTCTTATTCAAGCTCTATACATAACAGTACAATGTTGTTTATTCATCCCTCTTTTCCACAGAGGAAGGAACCAAGGTTCAGTGCATCACTTGCTCAAGTTATTAAGTTGCAGAACCAGGACTCCCACCCACAGAGCAGGTTGGCATGAATAGTGATTACACCTATCTACTTACATCTATGTCTGACCTTGAAACACCAGGGTTTAAGAATTCCTTCTCCCCAATTCCAGGTCATCTCAAGAAGCCAAGAAATAACCAAATATTTGTTTAGGTTATTCTTAAGTTTCCTCAAACTCTGAGTTTCCAGGGATGTAAAATCTCTAAGAAACTAAACAACTATTTGCTGCCCTTTATATTTGTTAGGTTTCTTAGAAACCAATGATGCTCCCTGCGTTTCCATTATCCTTACCTAATGAAAAATGAAAAAAAAAGTGAAGTTTATGAATATATGCACTGGACGAGGGAAAAATCATATACTAGATCTGAGATACTTTTGCAAAGCTGTAATACAATTTAAAGAAGGAAGCTGCCACCTCTCTTATAGTTTAAGAGCCACCTCTAGATCACCATTTCTCAAGGGTCCATGGTTATCTATGATATCTTATATCTTTTTATTTTAGTGTCTTCATTTCAGTGATAATTTTTCAAAAAAATAACACAAGCATTTTCTGGAACAAATAGGTATCCATATTATAACTGAGTTCTGCCCAAATTTGTTGCCCATGTTTGTGGTTTGTATGTGTACTAAAGAGAGACTAGTAGGTAGGACAGAGTAGCACAGGCAGGCAGTACCTTATCAAGTGTACTGTGTGAATCTCACCTTTAACACAGCAACTTGCTATGTATAGCAGCCGGAAGTGTGATGGCAAATATGCAATTAAATTTGTTTCTATCCTCAATTCCCATTAACATTTAACAGGTTTCAAAAACTGCAATGCAATTTTTAAATAACAGCTTCAATGAGATATAATTCATATACCATACAATTCACTCATTTAAAGAGTACAGTTAAATTGTTTTTAGTATATTCACAGAGTTGTGCAACCACAACCACAATCAATTTTACAACAATTTCATCACCCCAAAAAAGAAAACCTGTACCTATCAGCAATCACTCCCCATTTCCTCCCAACCCTCACCCCAACCAGGCCTAGGGAACCACTAATTCCTGTCTCTATGGATTTGCCTATTCTAAACATTTCATATAAATGGAATTATACATGTGATCTTTTGTGCTTGACTGCTATCACTTAGCATAATGCTCCCAAGGTTCAGCCGTCTTGTAGCATGAATCAGTACTTAATTTCTTTTTATTGCCAATAATACTCTATTGTATGGATATACATTTTATTTATCCATGTACCACTTAATGGACATTTGATTATTTCTACAATTTGGCTATTATGAATAATGCTGCTATGAACATTCATGTACAAGTTTTTGAGTAGACGTATGTTCTTACTCTTTTGGATATACACCTAGATGTGTAATTGCTAGGCCATATGTTAACTCTATGTTTAACCTCTTGAGGAATTACCAGGCTGTTTTCTGCACCATTTCATAATCCCACTAGCAGTGGATTTCTCTGCATTCTCACCAACACATTATTATAGCCCTCCTAGTAGGTGTGAAGGGTAACTCATTGTGGTTTTGAGTTGCATTACCTGATGGCTAATGATACTGAGCATCTCTTCAAGTGTTTATAGACCACTTGTACATCTTTTTAGGAGAAATACAGATCACTGGCCCATTTTTTTAAATTGAGTTGTCCTTTTATTATTGAATTGTAAGAGTTCTTTATATATTCTAGATACAAGCCCCTTATCAGATATCTGATTTGCACAAACTTCCTCCCATTCTGTGTTCTCATTTGCAACACAAATCTTATCTTCATCTGAACAAGGCAACTCTAACTCTGACAATACCACATTAAAATTGGCATTCAAGGACTTGTAGTCAGTTTTGGTTACACTTGAGATCCCATTATCACATGCTGCTTAACAATGTCTTAACATTTTAAAATACATACCTTCTATGATACTCTCTGCATAGTATTACTAAAGTTAAAATGTAGAAACAGAGGAAATATATTATTGAATCCAAGGCTAAATCTTTCCACTATTAAGTTCAACATTAAGTACTGCATTTCAGCAAAACGACATCCCTACCAAATAATATGAATGTTATTTTGAATTTTGTTTTATGGTGTGGTTTACAACTGTATACTTAATTCATAAAGATATAAATCATGGCAACAACTGATATAACTAAACTGTACTACCTACATGGTTCCCTAGAGCCATCAAAACATCAGGCTGCTAATACTGTAATAAATTTGTATGGTGGCAGATGGTAACTACCCTTATCCTGGTGAGCAATGAGTAGTGTATCAAATTGTGGTAATGTGTCAAATTGTCAAATCATTATGTTGTACACCTGAAACTAATTTAACATTGTATGTCAACTATTCATCAATTAAAAATATATATTAGACTGCTTAAAGGAAACAATTTTGGTTCAGCATGTTAATTTTTTTTAAAAAATCCACTGACCCTACCACTGTTATTATTGAATTATTTGTACACTTAGTTTTGATTTTAGTTGATTAAGAGCTACTGGGAGCTTCAGCATAGAAGGATGAGAATTACTACCTAGCTTTATGTCAAAGTATATTTAGAGTAATCATAATAAAAAATTGCCAGTATGGGGGCCAATATAGTGTCCAATGCAATGTTCTTCCTTTAAATGCAATTTGTATGACAGTGGAGTGAAAGGCACGGCTCTTACTCAAAAAGAAGCTATTTTTTTTTTAAGATTTTATTTATTTGACAGAGAAATAGAGAAAGAGCACGAGTAGGCAGAGCAGCAGGCAGAGGGAGAGGGAGAAGCAGACTCTCCATTGAGCAGGGAGCCTGATGTGGGGCTTGAGCCCAAGGACCCTGGGATCATGACCTGAGCCAAAGGCAGCCACTTAACTGACTGAGCCACCCAGGTGCCCCAAAAGGAAGCTATTTTTAAGTTAACTATGGGTCTCAAGGAGATTTCTTCCCAGTCTTTCTTATGCTATTAATTAAGAGACTAGAAATGCAATACTGAGTGGTCACCCCAAATTCTTGAATGTGAACATGAATATTTGTTTTGTTTTGGTTTTTTTGTATCTTTACCTGGTAGACAGGCAAAATTTATACCCTTTCCTTTCAAATTAGAAAAATTACTAATTTAACCCCATAAATAATAAGAGATAATGATATTTAACTATCAGCAACCAAGGTCAAATCGTATTTTCCACAAATCATAAATAAGGCATCTTGGCTGTGGATAGAGTTCATAACAAAACAAAATGATCTCAGACACCCAAGGATTGGTCTAATAAATATTATTAATAAATATGAAATAAGTAGTTCTAGTCAGACCCTTTTCTTCCTCTACTCTTGGCAACAACAGGATTCTACTGTGTGCATGGTTCCTTATGGCCACCAAAGCACATTAGACTGCTTACAGAAAATTACCTTGGTCTAGCAGAAATTCTGTTTTTTAGAAATCCACTAACCCTGCCAATGCTATTATGTTAACAGCTAATAATAGCAGAAAATATTAATATGTTATCCCATAGTCAGCCTAAAGGTTAAAAAGAATGCAGGCAATACAAACCTTTGCAATGAACCAAAGCAAAGAACACAAAAAGCTCTGAAAAGTTCCGTAAATTTGTAACAAAAGAACTCATAACAAAAGTAAAGCCGATTTAAGACAATAGCAATCTCTATGATCTAGACCATCCTGAGAACAATTCTCCTTCTGTTTTTAGCCAAATAAACAAATCCTGAGAACTGAAGTCTGATTAACTGCATTCTTCTTCTACAGTACACTCAATATCATCCAGCAAATTATGCATTAACATTAAGTAGCTGAACAAGTTAAATAAAGAAGCTGAGATATGTTTATTAAAAAAAAA